GTTATAATACAAAAGACCATTCCACACGGGCGAGTTAATGTAGCCACCGCTGAGCAGCAGAATATAACGACTGATTTATTCAGGTTATACAGCCAGGCGCGTAGCTGCCTTTACGCAAAAAATCATTTGCTTGCACATTTTTTTTTACAAAAAAAAAAAATTCTGAAATTGAATTACGGATAGTTTTTAGTCTTTACAGATTATCGTGTCGGCGGTGTTTAAAGCCCAAATCTCTGATGTCGTCTCTAGCAGTGACTAATAAGGAACTATATATCCTTCAATATTCGCAATCTTCTCAATTCTAGTTACAATGCCAGTAACTACATCAACTACTGAACGGTCATTTAGTGCATTAAGGCGACCGAAAACTTCTCCGTTCAACCATGGTACAGGACAGACTATCTTCGTTGGCGCTCATACATGTTCACAAAGAAATGGATATCAACACCGAAAGAGTTCTGCGATCATTTGCCTTGGCAAAAAATAGATATATTGACTTTCGATATTAATATACTTTAAGTCTTACATGCAGTATTAACATTTAATAATACAGGCTCAATACAATCACCTTGAAAACATCTCAGATTTATTTCCCTTACTTATAAGTCAAGACTTAAAGGTGGCCGTTAGATTTCGTATTCCTATTGTCCGTTCGTCCAAAAGACTATTAATTCACCTGGGGTATCTGTGTCCCAAATGACCTTCTACCGTTGTCGTAGAAACCTCTCATTTGATTTGAGAATGACTTTCGTGAGAAACACTACGGGTGTCTTGCAAGAAGCAGTAACTGCTTACCCTTCCGGAGCACCGGAGGTCGCCACATTGTTGTTTTGGGTCCGTGTTTTTCATCTGTATTTAGTTTTCAATGTTGAATGTTTTTGTTTCTCCTTTTGTGTCTTATCTGTTCCCGGGTTTGTCAATTGTCCATTGATTAACGCTTCGGTTGTCGACTCTTCCTGGTCTTCCCGTTTTATAAAATTTATTTTATATTTGAAAATAACCATGTTACTAATATAAGCAGCAAATTACGGAACTCACTAGACTTTAACTTTCGTTTCATGAAAATATGGTATAGTAAGAAACCGATAGGGTATTTTTCATGTTCAAAGCAGTCACTGTAATTACTCATATGCCCGGAGCTTCATGGGGATTCGCTTCCCTGGACCACCGTATACGATGCTGCCCTGGATCCCCGACTAGGGTGCTACCCTGGACCAGTTGGGGACTTTGAGCGGTCCATAGCCTCCTCCCTTGCCGAATCACTATAAAGTCCACAAGTATTCACAAAATAGGAGTTTGGGCGTGAAGGAGTGATGTGAATTTCAAAAGCATGGCATACCGGGAAAATGCCCGAAAAAATTAATCATTTTCTGCATAAAATGGTCCAAAAAAAAATTTCGCCTCGCTTCGCTCGACGATAGTTATGATTGCACTTTATTTAAGTCCAACTACGCCCCTGTCAGCTTTAGGTAACATGTGAATTTTAAGGCTGAATTTTGTCACTTGCTTCCTTAAACGCTTTTGGTCATTCTTTTAGTTTGATTTTCGAAAAAAATTACAATTTTCGTTTACGGAAATAGTAAGAAAATTTAAAAACTAATCATGATCAAAATATGTATATAAATCATTACTTAACTGGTGCTTTTGTCATCGCTGTGAAAATCCATATGATCAATTAATATAAATTTTAGTCAAATTATTACTAATACAAGTAGTTAAAGTGATTAATATCCTATCATTCGTCCAATTTCGGGAATCTCATATTCATTTGATGACATTTAGTTTAAGCTTTCTTAGATGATGTCAAAACGACAGTTTTTAGTTTAACTTCCTAATCTTGACATTTTGTATCAGCTTAACCACACTTATAGTTGTTATGAAAATTCAAAATACAAAAAAAATTGTATCTACCATTTATTCAATTTAAATGTGAAAATACTGCTTCATTACAACAGTTATGAGCCAAAGGCGTATGTGAACTTGTAATCGATTAGGGACAAAATAATCCCTGTCTGAATTAATTGAATATATGTCCTCATATGCACCTTCTCCTTTAGCTAGAACAGCTTTTTGTCTGAATAATTTAGCTCCGTCACAACATTGTTCGAGTCTTTTGTTTCTACATAAAAATGCTTCTAATTGTAAATAACGACAAAAATACCCTAAACGTGAAAGATTTTCCACTTTTTGTGAATTTGACCATAATTGAATATTACTTGTTGCCAAATATCTATGCTTATAGTTCTGGTTATATATTGTTCCGCACCAATCACCAAAGTATATAATTATTGTTCCAGAATAAAAAAAAAAAAGGTTTGAACTCTGGATTAAATAATATTCCCCTACAACTGCACTTGCTAAAAGTGGCAACTGGCATCAGAAATGAGTTAGAATGTTCTTTAAATACATATGTGGAAATATGCCAAGCTCATGAACCCACAAAAAACTTGCAGCTTATCTTTCTTAGGACGTCCTTCTTGATACCTTTTAGCTTTGTGCCAAATTGTGGGCTGCATAAATGCACATTTCACAGCTATTTTGCCATATTGACTTACTATCATGCAAGTGAGATGTTTGGCGCTGTAAACTCGTTTAAACCATCCACTTTAATTGGAATGTGTCTGTACCAATTTTAGGCTATAAAAGTATATTGCCACTAAATATTATGAGATCGTTTGAAATGATTTCCTAAAAGTAGTGAGAAAATAAATACTGGTTTTTTAAATAGTGCATTTGCAATAAACCATTGTTACTACAACCGAGTTGATCTCAATGTTTCCCTTGGTGATGATTTTCGTTGATATATTTGTCTTTTTGTGTTTTTAGTTAATACTCTTTAACATCACCTATTTAAAGTGTTCTTGCTCTTATCTTAATCTTGAGACTTGTCATCTTTTCAGTAAAGTTGATGCACTTTTACTCAAATTTGTACCATTTTAAACATAACATGGGGATTCAAAACAAAATTTGTTTTTAAAACAGGAAAACATTGCAATTGCCTCATTTAAGAGATTTCAGGTATTGATGCTTCCCATTTGGTGGGTTGTGCCCAACCTGTTGATTTCTACTGGGAATATAGAATTGGTAATTATTCAGGTAATCCTACCTACAGAGTAGAACCCTCTGTAACAAAGTGATTTTAGCTGGTCATAAATTGTTATAACATCTTTGATTGTTCCAGTGAACAAAACTAGCCACAACCTATCTTGCATTCGTTTGATCCTAAAAAAAATGATTTTTTTATTAAATTCTTAACATTTCATGCATATCATATTTTTTATAAACAAGAAATTACTGTGTTATGGGTATGAAATAAAGATCAGTTGACATAAAAAAAATCTAGTAATTAGTTCAATGGGAAAATGTTGAAGACTGTATGAAACACTCTAATATTGTTTGTTTGTTTTGTTTTGTTTTTTTTGGTTGCTGTCTCAGAAAGGTATACTGAACATCTCCTTTTATTTTTTTCTTATAGTAAGATTAAAGCATTAAACAAAAAAATTGCAAAAATCTTTAGAGCAATAGACTGACAGATCAAAAGATCAAGTGCAAAACTATAGTCCTCTTCAGCTTTGCTTGTATGAAAGGGGCTTTTAAATAAAGAATACAAGACTTTTTCAAGTGAACTTAGAATCATTTGATGCACACTAGCTAGGTGCTGTGAACAACAACTGATGAATCAGATGTGGATACTCAAAAATTCCAAAGATCTTTTAGAGTACATACAATTTAAGACTCTTTCATCTTGCAATAGTATTAAAACATTTGACTTTTCTACACTTTACACAAGTATTCCCCATTCAAAACTAAAAGACAAATTGAAAGAGCTGATCCTTCTTTGTTTCATAAGAAAGAATGGCCAATGTAGATACAAGTATCTTGTCTTAGGGAGGGATAAATTGTACTTTGTGAAAAATCACTCCGATTCAAACAAAAAATTCTCTGAAACTGACATTATCAAGATGCTTGATTTCTTAATTGACAACATATTTGCTACGTTTGGAGGACATTTTTTCAACAAACAATCGGCATTCCCCTGGGAACCAAATGTGCTCCTCTTCTTGCAGACTTATTCCTTTATTCACATGAGGCCGACTTCATACAGGAACTCTTAGGAAGAAAGAAAAGAAGTTAGCAGTATCCTTTAACTTCACATTCTGCTAGATATAGATGATTTTCTCTCACTAAATAATTCAAAATTTTGTGACTATGTTGAACGCATCTATCCCATCAAACTTGAGATAAAGGATACAACAGATACTGTTAAGTCAGCCTCATATCTTGACCTACATCTAGAAATTGACAAAACTTTACGACAAAAGAGATGATTTCAGCTTCCCAATTGTGAACTTTCCATTTCTATATAGCAACATTCCAGCCTGCATACAGAGTTTCCATTCTCAAGTTTATATATCTCCCAGTTGATACGATATTCAAGGACTTGTATTTCCTATCATGATTTCCTTGATAGAGGTTTGCTGCTCACAAGGAAGCTATTAAACCAGGAGTTCGAAGTAGTGAAGTTTAAATCGTACCTTCGCAAATTTTACGGACACCATCACGAGTTGGTTGACCATTATGGAATATCTGTTTCACAGATGACAATGGATATGTTCAAATTGTCGTAACCACAATCCCATCCCCTTTTCCTCGAATGCGACCTACCGAATTAGACTTATCACCTGGTTTGTACGATGGGTGCCACATGTGGAGCAGGATTTACTTACCCCTCTGCAGCACCTGAGATCACCCCCTGTTTTTGGTGGGGTTCTTGTTGCTCAGTTTTCTATGTTGTGTTTTGTGTACTGTTGTTTGTCTGTTGGTCTTTATCTTTTTCAGCCATGACGTTGTCAGTTTATTTCTGACTCATGAGTTTGAATGTCACTTTGGTATCCTTCAACTCTCTTTCTCTGACATATCATATGATGAGAAATTGGATTAAAGCATTTTTGTAAAATGCTGAACAGATTAAACCGAACAAATAAACAAAAAGACTGCAATTTACAATATGAACTGTATTCATATAAATATCACAAGTTTTCACAGTATAAAGCTACAATGTCAGTCAAGTTTTGAAAGTACTGATATTTTGACTAGCCATGGACTGTCTGGTCTGCAATACCTCTGTAGATGTCTTCTCAACCCCAAAGTATACTAAAAAAAAATATAGAAAGCAATTCAATACATCATTGATATTCATTGCTTAATAAACTTACAAATTTCAATAAAAGTTTACTGCAATATAGTATAATTTGATTTTGTCTTTTGTATTTCAATTTTAGAAATTATAAACTGATATGATGGAATATATGTCCAATAATTGATTCTTTTTAATGTTTTGAATATTTACATGTAGCTATAGGCAATTCATGCAAAATACATGCTATGTGCTGTTGATGAACACAAAAAAAGGTTTTTTTCTATATATTTTTCATAATAACTATTGTTGTCAATTCGAACATTTTTACCTAACCTTTTACTTGGATAATCTTCCAAAAGATTTACTGGTTAACAGGTATTAAAGTTGATGGTCAAAGACAATGCCTGCAGTACTTTATATAAGCTGTTACCACAGATATATGTCTCGCCTTTTTGAAATTTTGATAATGCAAATGTTGAAATTAAAATAGCAATACTTTAACATGTAAGTTATGCAAATATTCAAAGTCGAAGAACCATGACTGAAGGTACATGGCTAAAAAATCTCCATGGAAATGAGATGTGCCAATGCTAATACAACTGCATACCAAATACCATCTACTTATTATAAGTCGTTCCCTTTAAACAAACCTAAACACAAACATTAACTTGTAAACTATGTAAAAGTTTCAAAGTCAATGAACCATGATGAGGGGGTGGGGCTATATAATCTCCATGGAAACAATACTTGCAAATGCCAATAAATTTGCATATAAAATATCATTGACTTAACATTAGCAGTTCATCTTAAACTGATCTATAATCACAAACTAATACATGTAAACTTAGCAAAAGTTTCAAAGTCAATAGACCATGACTGAAGGGGCAGGGCCAAATATTCTCCATGGAAATGGGATGTGCTAATGCTTATACAACTGAATACCAATTAACATTGGCCTACCACTAATGGTTCCCCTGGAACTGACCTAATCACAAACTAATACATGTAAACTAAGCAAAATTTTCAGTCAATAGACCATGACTAAGGGGGTGGAGCCAAATAATCTCCATGGAAATGAGATATGCCAAATGCTTATACACTTTCATAACAAATATCATTGACCTACCACTAGTGGTTCCCCATAAACTGACCTAATCACAAACTAATACATGTACATGTAAACTAAGCAAAATGTTCAAAGTCAATAGACCATGACTGAGGGGGCAGGGCCAAATAATATCCATGGAAATAAGATGTGCTAATTCTAATACAACTGCATACCAAATATCATTGACCTACCAATTGTGGTCCACCATAAACTAGACCTAATCACAAACTAATACATTGTTGACGCCACCGCTGACGCCGGAAACAGCATACCTATGTCTCGCTTTTTGACTCTGTTAAGGCAAGACAAAAAAGCACAGTTATATGATATGATGTATTGAAGTTTATTGAGACATCCTTTTCTAGATCATTAATAATGATTGTACGAGTAACATGGAGACATGAACAATACATAAATTATGTATTGTTAATGTCTCCATGTTACCAGGTTACTGGTACAACCCGTATACACACAGAAAGGAATTTCACAATTTTTGAATCAGCATTTTGTTTGAAATATGACCAAGTCTAACATTTACGTCCTAACAATATAAAGTTAAAATGAATTACTAAACTTAATCAGCAACTTTGATCAGCTTAAAACTGCTCAAAGGGTATTTATTTTACACACCTTGTAAATTATGTTTACTTAAGTGTTTGCTTTCCACATGTGTTGCTGTTCTGGCTTTGCAACTTTGTTTGGTTAAATTGAACAGTTCGTCTCTGTTTATCAATACAATAGATACCTTTTATGTGTGGTCATAAAAAACACGGACATATTTTCTCCTCTATTTGTGTATAAATGAATTATGTCCATCTTGTCATATCGAACATGTGAACACAATACAATTGTATACCTTTACATGACTCTTAGTTTGGTCTGAGAAATGAGTATGAGCTCACTTACTTAACCAGGGGGGTCGGGAGATACTCTACAAATTTCTTATATGAGCTTCGTATTCCAGATACAACTTTTATTTAAATGATTCTGTTGTATTTTACCTGTGTTTGGCACAAAAGCATTATTTTTGTTTGCTGCAAATTAAATATAACCTTGTGGGGGAAATGAAATACTTTATTTTTCAAAAATAGGCGCAAATGCAATGTGCCCTACAATATGTCTTTGTGCTAATTATTTGAGTAAATGTGGAATGTTTTCAGTGTTATTCAAGCAATCAATAAACTGGACAATTGATTTCATTTAGTGCCATGATCATCAATTTTAAAATTTAACATTGTTATTTAAGAAATAATTCATGGCAGCTATAGATTTGTTTTCATCTAACCATGGGTTGGGCATTTATATTCAATTATTTTATCCCGAGCAACAGCGAGGGGTAAAATATGAATATAAATGCCCAACCCATGGTTAAATGAAAACAAATCTACGGCTGCCACGAATTATTTCTATTCTAATAGGACAAATTCTGTAATTTTGTCAACCATGAAAGCCCTATACACATGATGCTGTTTTGGCTGTTCCGTCTTACCCCACATATAATAGTATTAATAATATAATTTTATTCAACAATAAATAAAAAAAATTCACATTCTTCACCTAAATTTGTTCTTTTTGTGTTATTTTATTACATTCTGAGGCGTACAAGAAGCCTTAAAATGCCCGGTGTTTACATTTGATGCCAGAAGCATACATATGATGTCACCTTGTTTAGTTGCCAAAGACGATAACATCATTTCGTGGAATTTTCGTTTTATGACATTTTACATCAAAATAATAACTGAAATAGACTCATTTGTTTATATTGCATCAGAATTGAGATAACCACATTGTATTCGAAGCTTGGCCCAAGAAAAACTTGGGATTCACTGTCAAAAACTGAGTTTACCTGGTCGTATAAATAAGAAGGGCGTAACAGGGACAGCTTATTTTGTGTATCTATGCGTCTGCGCTAAAAGTAGATATACTGTGATTATACTGGTTGACGATATATAGGTCGTCATATAAGAATTATGATTTTAATACACATTTATATCAAATTGATCTTCATTGAAAAAAGGTCTGATTAACAGTTTCATGTTTAACATTCAATCATTCTGATGGTTAACCAGATAACTGTTGACAACACTACTAATAATGATATATGTATACATTTGTTCATTTATCTAAAATTAAATTATTTCACATTAACTATTTGATGGCTATAAACTGAATTTCTTTTCAATCTGACATCATGGAAAATAAATGGGGAATGTGTCCATGGGACACAGATAATGCCCCCGCTTGCATATAACATTATTAAGGGACATAACTCAAGCACTGTAAAAGTGACACTACCCAAATTTGTAATTTATCTGAGTTTTGTGGTAATAAGCATTGTGTATAAGTTTCATAACATTTGGTGGAGGCAAACTAAGATTAGAGAACTGAAATGAAAAATTCAGCAATTTTTCCATTTGTAAAGGTGTATTACTCTAGAACTGTAAAAGTGACGCCACCAAAATTCATACTTGACCTGTGTTTTTTTGTTATAAGCATTGTGTATAAGTTTCATAACATTTCGTTGAGGCAAACTAAAGTGAGAGAACAGAAACGAAAAATTCAGCAAAATTTTTCATTTGTAAAGGGGCATAACTCTAGAACGGTAAAAGTGACACCACCAAAATTTTGTGGTATTAAGCATTGTGTATATGTTTCATTACATTTGGTTGAGGCAAACTAAAGTTAGAGAACGGAAACCAATTCAAGGACGTACGTACGTACAGACGGACCAGGGTAAAACTTAATGCCCCCTCCGCTATGGCGGGGGCATAAAAATGTATCACAAAAGATGATGTCAAGGAAAAAGTCACCTTTTATTTTACGTATTTCTTACATCTGGAGCAAAATAGTTCTCAAACCAGTGAAAGTCAAAGATTTAGCCAGTGTACTTTAAAACCTACACCACTTTTCCTCCAAAGGGTACTATAAAGCTTGTTCAACTAACAGTTCCAAAATTTATATTTTAATATATTTACAGTGAAAGTCATTATTAAATTTATAAGTGTTTAAGGCTTACAGATTTTTATATAAACTTGGTAAAATTGTTGTAATCTGCCTAAGAATCAGGCAGTGGTGAAAACATGACAACCAAAACAAGTTACATTAATTTAAGCTCAAAATGTATAATGATGCATAAATATAACATTCATTTCCTTTTCCTGTTCACTAGCGGATTTAGGGGGGTTTGGGGGGGGGTTCGCAAAAACCCCCCCGCTTGAAAATCTTAAAATATTTTTTGTATTAACTATTTCTTGTTTTAATGTTATCTTTACTATAAATTGAATATCCAGTACTGAATAGGGTGACACGTTGTCACTACACTCCTTTAAATATACACATATCATAATTACATTGGCCTGAGGGAAACTTAACTGATAATTAGAGGGTGAAAGGATTTAATTAAGACAATCCAAGGCTGCTATCCCTATATTTTATTAATATTACTTTGTTGGTTTTATGATTAAAACGACGTTTTCTGTTAGCTTGATTTAAAGACAAATACTTTTTCACCTTATCATATCCATAAGAATTTTTTTTTAGAAAATGACAAAAGCTGAATTTAAGTATATTGCAAACTTTATTTCCACATCTGTACCTATAGTGCTCAAATGTATAGCATTCTAAATGAAAACTGGAATCCACCTAGTTCTTTTCCTTTTCATAAACAAGAAATGTACGGGTTTAAAAGTTTGACGACAACCCCGGACAGTTTGTTAAATAACCGTTCAGAATTGGGTTAAGCAAATGGTGAATGTTAATAAAAAAAAAAAAAAAAATACCACCAAACAGCCTTATTAAGATCACAAGACTTGACCAACACACATGATAAGACTGCTAGTGGAATAGATGCAATGGCTGATACATCAATTGCAAAACGGTTGGATACGATCTGTAATTAAATAATTAAACTAATCTAAAAAGTTTATTTTGAGTAACCATATGCCTGATGAACAAAAAGTGTGCCAATTATTGAAAAAAACATATATTGTTTGGTATAACAAGAAAACTTCTCTAATGTTCAAAAACATTTCTCACAAAACCCCCCCGCTTTAAGCTCTGGATCCGCGCCTGCTGTTCATGTATTTCAAGATATGATTTGGTAAAATGCACTAGAAATTAACAATTAAGGGGAGATAACTCAATACTTTGCTATCATTCTAACCAAAATTTATCTAGAGATTTCTAGAATTACCAGACATGCAATAAGGAAAGACCTACCATTTATAACTCAAGATGAGGGTAATTTCAAAATAGGATGGTTAGGCCGGCAGGTTTTTTTCGGCCATGTTTTGTCATTCTGCTAAATTGTCTGATTCTTACAAAGACTGGCAATTAAATTGAACAATTTGATAGGCAAATTCACAATACCAGGTATTTGAAAAACTGTTCAAAATCTGTATAAGAATTTTATTTTTTTAATACATGTATGGTTTTTTATTTGTATGAATGTCATATTTGCAAGGTCAACATATTTAAACCAATACTTTATCTTTCTGTCATGTGTCTGTATTACAGTGTAGACAGAATTGTGACTGTGGGACAAGCTTGGGATGACACTTAATTTAAAAAAAAAAATTTTAAATGATTCACCACAACAAATAAAACTTAACTAAGTGTCTTAACATTATTACAGTCATGTACCAAAAGAAAAATCAATAACTTTTTTCTCAATAAATTCTAGTGCACTTTAAAAAACAAGTGACTAAGGTCATATGACATTAAACAAACTTAATTCCTTACATGTAACAGAGCTGTCACAAATCTGTTTGACATGATGGAAGTCTACCAGTAGATTAAAACGGGCTCTGACATACTCTACAGAAACAAACAGTTTAGTCATACACTGTTAACATGTCAGAAATATGTAAATAGCAGGTCAATTTTTTTCTTCAAAAACTGACTAATTGACAAATTATTTAGTTAATCATAAAGGATTCTGGGTACAATGTTTGAACTGCATACTGATGTACACTATTTTAGATGTATGATACAAAACAGGATTCAACCAGTCTTACCACCACATCAATTATACCAATGATTTACATTGCTTGTTTTAAATGTATCCACATGATCATTCAAATTTAGTTGGTCATACCATAGTTTATAACAACTAACCTTGCTATTTCTAAGGGAGGCATTCCTTCATCAGCACCTCTCTTGAATCCTAAGAAATGAAAAATAAAACAAGGTATTTTAATACAGTTACCATGGTTACTTAACTAAATGTGTACCAATGACAAATGCATGCATGTCATTTATAACTTATAAAAAGAAATGTTTAGACTTTTTGTAATACAGATATCATCAATATGAAACTCAGACATGCATGTAGTACCCTTTTAAGTTTTTCGCATATACATATCTATAGAATAGAACATACAAGACCATCTCAGTTATCCCATCATGGGACACAATTAGCATTCCAAAAAATGTACATTGTACTAGTCTTATTAACATACATTATTTTTTTTCCATGCAAACTTGAATAATATACTTTTATACCAAAAATCAGATCATTATGTGCAGACATAGAAGAAAGTAAGCACATCTGTTTCATTTCAGCAACATAAAAGTGCAGACATGAGAAACACTATGTGCACTAGTACTGGCAAAAGCATACAAACAATTTTGAGAAAAAAAAAACAAATTGACAAATCAGAAAAATTTTGAGCAAGGGCTTCCAATTTGATTTGTAGCATTCCATAATAAACTGCTTCTCTGAGCGCAGCTGGATACAACCACAGAGGTCCAACCCTGAACAGTTGGGGCAAAAATGGACACAATATTCAAGCTTGATACAGGTCTGAATTTGGATTGTAATTAAATATTTGATATATTATAAGTTTCTAAATAAATGTATTCAAAGAACTTGAAATTGTTGTGCAATACACTGTGCTGTTGCGCAATACTTAGTAAATCTGTTGTCAGACTATAAACAAATAAAATCTTATAACTTGGAAACGCAAAATCGAAAATTTATAAAAATCAAAAGGGAACTTACAAAAATAGATATAAACAATTTACCAAAGTTTCATAAAAAATGCTGAAAGCATTTTTGAGTTATTGTCCGAAAACTGGAAAATCCCCCTTTTGGTAATGAATAAAACCTCATAAATCGGAAACGTATTATCTGAAATTCATAAAAATCAAAAGGGAGCTCATGTCGATAGAAATAAACGATTCACCAAAGTTTCTTGCAAATTGGTGAAACTGTTTTTGAGTTATTGTCTCAAAACTGGAAAATCCCCCCTTTTTTAATGAATAAAACCCCAAAACTCGGAAATGGTAAATCTGAAATTTATGAAAAACAAAAGGGAGCTCACATCAATAGATATAAACAATTCACCAAAGTTTCATGCATATTGGTTACAGGGTTATTGAATTAATGTCAGACATGTTGACGACGGACAGAGTCGGACAGACGGTCAACGGTATACCATAATACATTCTGTAAACGGGCATATAAAAACTGTGGAAAGATTGAAACAAATGCAGAAAATGGACAGGAATCTCCATTTACAGCTGTTACATGTACATGTATTTGGTAGGAGGCATGCTTCATATATAATTATATATTGTAATTTTGTGAAAAAATTTGCATTTTGAATTTAATTATTTATATTTTGCCACCCTTTCATCCCCTTAAACATGATAAATGCAGAAATGCAGAAATCCTGTTAGGTAATACATTCAATTATTTTTTTTAAAATTCAATCTAACCTGTGGTTCTGATAAAGGCAGTTCAACCATGCTGACTGTGATGCTGATGCTTTTAACAGATCTAGAACATCTCATTAACTAGAGGCTCTAAAGAGCATGTTTTGCTCACATTGATCTATGTGCATCTCCAATGTACACGTTCCAACATTATGGACTTGAATAGAATTCATGACAAAAACCTATTTTGTTGATCTTGTATTGCTGATCATTATTCTGTTTACATTTTCTCTCTTATTTTATTTTTACCCAAAACACAAAAAAGGGGAAAAAATTGTCATTTAAGGACAATCCCTCCAATCATGCCAATTAAGAGTCTACTAACACTTGTCACAAGTTCAGCAAAATTTGACTTATTTATAGATCTTGTCTTGCTGATCATATTTGCTATTTAAAGTGTCTATCTTGATATCTAGTTTTAAGTAAATAGACAAAAACACAAAAAATTGGTAAATCATCACTAAAGAGCAAGAACTCTAATAAGGAGTTGACCAATAATTTCGTACATGGTGACTCATTTCTATATCTTTCCTTGCTAATAATTTTTGCTATAGAATGTTTCTTTTTATCTATTATAGTTTATAAGATATAAGGCAAAAATGAAAAAAAAAATGTGTCAATAAAGGGAAATAACTATACATAACAAAGTTGTCTAACAGAAGGAATGAAAACTAGGTAGATCTCAACATTTTGAATATTTTCTGTATTTGTAGCAGTTTTCAAGACATCAGAAAAACTTGCATTTTACCTTTGTTCTATTTTTAGCCATGTACATGATGTAGTTTGGCATATTTTTAAAACTAGATACCAAAATGACGATTGTGGCCAAGTTTGAATAAATTTAAATTAAAAGTATTTTCAGAGAAGATTATTGTAAAAGTTAAAACAGACGACAGATGACAAGTGATGAGAAAAGCTCACCTGGCAAAAAAAAATGGCTATATAGGATGAGATCCATACATGTATCTTATACACATGTACAGACACCTGTAATTTTTTTGCAAATTTCTAAGCCAAACAGTCATTTTTGTTAACTAACAAAAAAGAGTTGTCATGAATGTTTTTATATCATCTGTAATCATGGTAATCATGGTAATTTCAGACACAAATATGACCCTACATTTGTATATCAGCATAATATCCCTTGCATTGCTGACCATGTCTCCCTGTACTTTTGATGACATTGATACATGAAATTCTTTGAGAATTTCAGTTGCCAATATTAAGCATGTTAAGTGTAGGATAGCATAATTTCATATCAACAGGTGAAGTACTTTTAGCTTGCTTTCAGTAAACTATTAGACTATGGGCATTCTTTAATACAACTTTTTTTTTATTGTTTTGCTAGTTCTTGTGTTTTTTTGTTGCCTCTTAAACCAGTATTGATTGTATTATAAGGTTTATAGGGTTATGCGCCTTTCCTGTAGGCGGCTAAAGGCTTACTTTAAAATGTTCTCTATGTACCTTTATTCACCTGAACTACATTCAAAAAGGGGGAGGATTGAGACCTAAAAAGCACCCTGCCACATGTTTATGCGCATGTCCCAGGTGAGAAATCTAATCAGTGGTTGTCTTCAGTTAATGCTTTTGTCAATAAGGGATTTGGTATAATGGTGGATCTTTGATAGTCTCTCAAATTTACTCACACCTTTTCAAACTATGAGCATGATCATGATGAGAGATTTGGAGCTTGATATTTTGTAAAATGTCCACTCTTTGCCAATGAACGCCAAAAAATGACTGAAATTGGTCAATTATGTCATAAGTTTTTTTTGTTAAACATGTTAAAAATTGGCAAAAAAAATATTGACTTTTCAATAATGAAGACAAAACAATTGTATGTATACTTTCAAATTTCATGCAAACTAACTATGGAATATGCAATCAACGATTCAAGACATTCCTTAAACATGTTAAATATATGTTCACATATTACTTCTGTAAACATCTTGTATTATGACATTATACAAAGGATTTAAACTTTACTCTAACCCATAGGCGTAGCATGTCCAAAAATAATGGTACGGTTTTGGTAAATTAGACAGAAGCATGATAAGGGACACGAAGTGTATGTGAAGCTGCATTATGTCATGGGGTCTGGGGCCACTGAAGGCCCCCAGAAGCTCTGGGGTTAATAGCGTTAAAATCCTGCATTCTAGGTGTTTCCTGGCACTAAAATTTGTTTTTGAAAAGCAGTATTTTTTACTCGACAACTTGAATCATTTATGATAAATAAAAATATGTGCCTGAACGACTTTGTATATTCCTTCCAGCTTGTTGACAGACGGAAGGACCCAAACACTTCATGCCCCAAACTTCGGTAGGAGGGGTATGCAAGTGACAATTCTAAACATATAGATTCCTGATTTTATTAATTAAGAGTATAAGAATCATCACTGAACTAGTACAGTCAGGGGTACTACTTGTACAAGTAATCTTTATTTACTTGAAGAAGTAAATAAAATAAACTTATACAAGTTAATTATATTGTTTGAATAATCTCCCCTTAATTTTCTAAAAAATTTACTTGTATAAGTAAATTTTTTTTACAATCCCACAAAAATTCTCAGTTTTGAGATGTAAAATCATGCCTTTAACAATTTTTCTCAGGTTAGCTCATAATTTTTGATAAGAGTTCAATGTTTCATCTCATTAATTCAACAAAGAAACTGATTGAGCAAAGATCTTAAGTATTTGGGCAAGGCCTTCAAAAATTGCTCCTTGGGGGCTTGTAAATGAGCAGTGTTCTAAAGATAACAGACAAATGAGATTTTCATTGTCCATGAAATTACACTTAAATGAATAGTAAAGACATCTGCAAAGGACAGACAATTCAAAATTCTGTTATAGCAAAGAATTTCTAAGAATTCAAGAAAAGAAGATAGGATGACTTTTTTACTTGTATAAGTAAAAAAATCTGAATGTCTAAGGGACATAACTAGGCCAAAAAATAATTTACTTATACAAGTAAATAAAATACACTTGTATAAGTATCCTACAAATTTACTTATATAAGTATATTATAATTACTTCTTCAAGTAAATAAAAATTACTTGTACAAGTAGTACCCCTGACTGTAGTATGTATACTTTATCAACAGAATGGAATGACTGAACCCTGCCTTGGGGTGTTGGGGCCATGGCCTGTTGTTCAAGACATATATGTATGTCATGATTTCACACCACGAACAGCGTTGGTCGTTGTGACTTCTGGGAAATATTATACTATCAAGATACATGTAGCTTGCTTTTAAGGGCTAGGCAGTGTAACCTTTTAATATAATTATTCAAATAATATCATGTCAGAACAAAGTATATATTATCATTTGATTATCATGATTATTGTTATCTCTAATTCAATGTAATTGGATCATTCTATTCTTATAACATGCATGTATCTGTATTCCCCACAATTGGAAATAAAATATATAGACATTTGTCAATTGTTGATGACTGTATGTTGACTTACAGATGAGTTTTTGTGAGGCTAGGATGCTGTAGTCATTTATGACATATGGCAATGTTAATCTGACAGTGAGTTATTAATTATACATTGTATCTTGGTTTCCAATTGGTCAATCTGCTTGCTAAAAATAAATCCAGAGAGAGTTGGAATGACATTGATGGAATATAAAAATTTGAGTTTAAAAATAGAATTTTGTAACTCATTAGACATACTTCAAATAACACTCAATAGGTTTTTCATCACTGTATCTTTAATAAATTTACTATCTGGATGATAAGTTCTATTCAGAGAAAAACCAACAGGTTTTTGGGAAATACTTTTTATAATTAGTGGTTAACTTCGTGACCGGATGTTATTTCTCAAAATTATAAGTTCGGCACCTTGTGTTATTTTAAAGTATATAGAAAATTTTTTTCACAAACAAAAGCAAGTGCCTGTGCATTTGACCTTGAATGCAGAAAATTTGTGATATCGTATTAGCTTTAGAAGTTTTCTCCATTGTACACAGTTAATTGCAGTGGCGGATCCAGAACTTTTCATAAGGGGGGGCACTGGCTGACCTAAGGGGGGGCCCGCTCCAGTCATGCTTCAGTGATTCCCTATATAATCAACCAAATTTTTCCCACAAAAGGGGGGGGCCCGGCCCCCCCCCTGAATCCGCCTATGAAATGCAATTACTGACCTGTTTGAGGTGTTAACACAGCCATTATAGCAATTTTGCTAAGGGTTGGCATAATGCATAGTTGCCAACTCACATGATATTCACGTGTAATACACGCTTTTTCAACTGTTTACACGCGAAGAATTTGTTACATGGCATGTACAAGCTTTTTGCCACTTTACACGCTTTTTCGTTGTTTTGATTTTTTGGTTGTTAGTGATATCACGATTCTCAGGTTTTTTCATATATAGACGACAAATACCGAAAATTTCGAAGTATTCGTTGGGTCGCCATTGTTTATTTTTTGATATGGACGAACTACAAAAGCCCTTCAGGTAAGTTTGTGAGTAGTTTTTAAGGTTTTGTTACTTTTTTTCTTTCAAATTCACTTTGGGGAAATGTCCAGCAGAAAGACATTGCTTTTTGGACCTGTACCGTCGTTTTAAGCGAGAACGATACATGTGTACGTACCAAAAAAGTTGGGAGTCTGAGTATAAATGGATCAAAGGCATATTAATTACAAAGTATTATGCTTCTTAAACATTATCAATCATTTGCAATCATAACAACATGTGTGAGAGGAGTACTAGCTATTTGAAAAAGCATTCAATGGTATTCAGAATTATAAAATTATTTTTCTTTTTCAGTTTCAAATCTAGGCTCTAGCCATCAGATTTCCACAGGCCATAGGGGATGGGAATATCACAGAACTGTTGGATCAGTTTTCAGAGTACCAGCTGTCTTCTCCTGATGAACTACTCAGCCAGCTTTGACCAGGAAATAGCAACATTCTGGGGAGCAATGGCAGACATAGATGACATTTTTAATGACAAAAAACGTTATTACATGTACATTCTTTCAAAGCTTGCTAAAGCTATTTTAGTTCTGCCAAATAGAAATTCTGACTGTGAGAGATTTTTTTCAATTATAAAGAAGATTTACACTGAATTCAGATCAGAACTCAACAATAATAAACATTGTGTGCATTGTTACATTTGTACATTGTACATGTATCATGTAAATTTAACCAAACTGGCTGTTGTTTTGAATATGTGCCTAGTTGTGTTGTTTTGAAAGCAGCAAAACAGGCCACTGTTGAATACAATAAAAGTTTACAGTAGAATATTGTTTTTTATATTGAGAAATTTGTATAATGTTCATATTAAAAAGTCTGCATCTACGTCACACTTTTTCACATGCTTTTTGACATGTCATGCAGGGGTTCAAATTAACATTTGGTATTGGAAGGTCCAGGACCTTTGACACTCCAAACTGAAAGGTCCACAACATAAATCCCAGGTCCTACTTTATTTGAAATATTTCATAACTCAGTAATTTAAGATACAAAATTAATGTGTTTTTGGTCTTAGGTTAGCTTGTTTAATTATATTTGAACTGCATGCAATATTTTGTTAAGTTTACAAATATATAGCCAGGCAACCATATAAATGTAGCACTAAACTGTCAGAGTCACTGTGGTATAACATGTATAATAATAAATGATGTAATTGTCTTACAAGTATATTATGAATTCAAATAATCTTTTTTTTTTTGGTATTGGGGATGGTGTCACTGTGGGTGGGTGTGCTGTCTCAATTATTGGTAATTATACCATTATCTCAGGGCTTACACTACTTCAGAATTATAGGGAGAAGTGACTTCTCTTTTTTTAAACTGATAGGGAGAAATGGTGAGATTTGAAAGAGAAGTGCTCACTCAAGGCGCTACAATGTTTGATTTTTACTATAATATAAAGGGCTATATGTATCTTTTTTTATATTGTTCAATTCATAACCGAGTATACAATTAAAGTAACAGTTCAAATTCATAGCTGTTTAAGTTAATCATATGTTGCACAATTATATTAGTTCCTCTCTTGTTAGAAACTACCAACTAAATATCTAGCACTAATAAAGAAATAACTTTTTTAACATAAAAAAAAAGACAAGAAAGTGATGAATGCTTAATTTTTCCCTTTGGGATCAATATTCTTCTGTCAGATGTGCCATTCATGGGTCCGTAGTCATTATCCCTAGAATCCAGATTTCATTCATAGCTGGTCCGTTTCCCGACTCCGATCAGTAGTTTGTACAAATATTTCAATGTGTAGGTTCGTGGCTTAGTGGTTAAAACCGATGGCTACAGTGCTGAAGGTCCCAGGTTTGATCCTGACTCTGGGCGCTGGAAATTTCAGTACATTAGTAGGGTGATTTTCACCCTCCCACACACATCTCTGGTACCTAGACCGGAGATTAAACTAGAATGGGTACTTTGGGGGCCTCGGTTGGTCAAAGTGGCCCCTGACTTTGACCTGGAGATCAATCTATAGAAATCTCTTCGGTTTGTCTGTTCCCGCCGAGAACCCCGGTGGTTCTCTCCGAGTACTTCGGCTTCCTCCACCATAATAACAGACTTCCCTGTGTCTGAGACTGTCTCCTAACACTACCTCTGTGTTGGGTTGGGGATTGTCCTGGTGATGGGTTGTATATAAGTTAGTGACACATCTCCATTAATCCCGATAGGGAGTGTGCATGGATTCCACTGTACCCTCGCAGCAATGGAGGGGTGCTCCGTTCACAGAGGGATCTTCGTACACACATACATACATACAATGGCGGACGAGAAAATTTACAAAAATAAATGATGTTTGAAATGCTATTTGTAAGGGAATATGACGTTTTTAATGCAATGAATGGATTACAAATTTACTTAAGGCAACTTTCATTACTTCTAATGGGTTAACAAACTTATTTTGACGACAGTTAAAATGGTTTGAAGTACGCTATCGAGGGGTATACCATGTCAATAGTAATATGGCTTTGGAATGACGATACTGATGGTTAAAAAGGTCGGCAAAGTCAAATTTTATTTTCTTTCAAACCGAAGGTCCGTCGGGCGTAGCTAGTAACCAAAATGAAAGTCTGGTTGCAATAGTGGAAGGTCACGGACCTCGGACCACCGCTAATTTGAACCCTGTGTCATGTCATGACATGACATGATTTGTCATTGTCAGAGGTTGGCAACTATGATAATGGTACATTGTTTTAGTGCCTGCTTAGGTTTACTGCATGTTCAGGGAGGAGCTTGGCAAGTTGGTAGTAAATGGTACTATAAATCAGCTAATTACTGACATGACTGACCAAATAACAATTTAAATTACGATTTTTTCTTGTTTCTAAAACAAAAATTACCCATGTATAAAACTGTTGGAATGAATCCATATTGAAATGTTACTCTAACAAGTTTAAGAACAGAAGAAAGTCTCTTTTTAGCTTCTGGACTCATGTCTGCCATAGTTTCACTTTTAAGATTAATGTAAAAAGAACGTAAAGTTTCATTGGTTGAAGATTATTTTGTCCAATCAAAACCGTCCTTTCTTCTGTCAACAAAAATGTCTGCGCCCATACACAACAAATTTTCAATTATATCAAATTGTTTTTATTCTTTATCATACTTATCATAACTCTGCTATTAAAGATTTTAAAATATTGTTCAATTATTAAGTAAAAGAGTTCCAAACGACTTTATGAAAGAGAGATAAATAATAGCATTTGCAGAAACACGTCTTTTCCATTCGGAGTATACAAGTTTTTACGTACTAAAACCATGATCAAATGACCTTGAGAAAACATACGCATGCCCCTGGGATTTTTCGTTACCCTGTGCAAAGCACACAGAGAAACCTCGTAAATAACAAATAATGTATAAAATACGAAATGTCACCGGCCGGTTCCTATGCAGACAAACATTACAGGTATTTTCAAACCGTGAACAAGAAATCGAGAGAATGCTATTTCCACGAACGCAGTCACAACAGGAAAAGTCTGTCCCACAAGACGTTTATATAAGTGATATAAACTTCTTCTTCCAATACAGTGCAATCCTCTAATTGAGTATTATCGTGTGACAACAAAGGTGCAAGAAAATATTTACAGGTGCAAGTAAAAAACACTCTGATGGTGTAATTTGGGGATGCTGCAGCTCATTACCCCCTGCTTGAAAGCATCTAGTGAGGTACTATCCACCAAAGGTTGTGGAAGGCTGTTCCATATCCGTATACTGTCTGGGAAGAAGGAATGCCTGTATGTTGAAGTTCTGGCATATGGTACAAGGAATCTTGTTGTGTGTCCTCTAGCTATTGATGATGTATTATGTAGCTCTAGCATTGGTATTGCTAAGAGGCCATGTACTATTCTGTACAGTCATCATTACTGCTTTACATCTGGCCCTTCACTCGGCTAGTGGTTGCCACTGTAGAGTTTTTAGCATTGATATTACACTGCTGGTTTGTTGGTAGTCATTCATTACAAACCGGGCTGATCTTCTTTGCACACTTTCTAGTTTCTGTATGTTAAGGTTGGTGAACGGGTCCCAAACTGAGCATGCGTACTCAAGTAATGGTCTAACTAGTGTTGTGTAGCATACAGCTTTTGTTTGTTAGGGATAGTGGTACAGGTTTCTTTGGATGAAGGCCCTGGTTGAATTTACCTTTTTAGCTATGCTCTCTACATTGTATGTCATGCATGTCATGTGTATGTGTGTTCCAATTAATGGTTTTATGGATTGTTACGCCTAGGTATTTTGCTGAGTCAACCAATGCTAAGTTATGCTCATGAATGTTGTCACTTGTGGGATGTGGTTTCTGCTTGTTGGTTACGTGTAGATGTTGGCATTTGCTGGGATGAAATTCCATTTGCCAATCATATTCCCATCTGAGCAAGTTGTTCATGTCTTCTTGTAGTAGTTTTGAGTCTACTTCATTTTGGATCCTTCTGTACAGTACGCAGTCATCTGCAAATAAACGAACTGTTGATGCCTGCATGTAGTCGGGTAGGTCGTTGATAAACAGTAGGAACATGAGTGGCCCAAGTACACTGCCCTGTGGTACTCCTGATTGGACAGGTGTAGTGTCAGATGTTTTGCCATCCACAACGACTCTGTGATTTCTGGAGCTGAGAAAGACCCAGATCCACTGAAGTGTTGGCCCGCTGATACCATCAGTCAGGGGACTTATTGAAATAAGTGATTTTTAAATCACTTATTTAAGTAGCAAATTCGAAGTTTTGTCACAAATTGTGATTTTGTAGTTTTACCAAAATTTTAAACACATAGGTTTAGATAATATCTTTTCATTAGTAAAATTGAAAAAAATAAACTTTTTGCTTCTTTTAAGCAGCAAGGTTTATGCCTTTGATGCAATCATTTAGCTGCAAATTCTATTTTAGTTGAAAAAATGCTATGAAAATGGCTTTACATAATGAACTGATACTTTCTTAACAGATTTTTCCCAGCAGTGGGAATATTTTTCCTGTAAAATTCAAGGTTTCATCTTATAGATTATGTAATAAAATTCTACTGTTCGCGATCAAAATTTCACTGTTCGGGGGTGTTGAAATTAGTGGGGGTTATTAAAATAATGATACTTAAAGAAGTGATTTTTTGGAAGGAAATTGAGGTATGATACTTAAACAAGTGATTTTTATGTCATTATCCTAGATTTAGTACAAGGTCATCACCTGACATGACCCGGTCATCCTATCAACACAGATGTTGGTTCTGATAATTTTAGCAACATAATTAGTCCCTTGATCATTAGTATTCTATATTTAAAGCTACAATAAAATTAAATCACTTAGTCTAGTGATTAATTTTACTACTTAAATAGGTGATTATTAAAGAAAGACAACTCTTACTTCCAACCTTTATGGACATAATGTTACTTGATTCAGTGATTTAGAAAATCACTCATTTAAGTAAGTCCCCTGACTGACCATAGTACTTTGCTTTATCTTGTTTATAGAGAAGTCTCTCATGAAGGACTTTATTGAATGCCTTAGAAAAATCAAGCAAGATAAGGTCAATATGTTCGCCGAGATCTATGTTCTTAGCCGCCAAGTCCTGTATTGTAAGGATCCGTTGTGACTCGCAGGAACATTTTTTTCTAAATCCATGTTGAGCGTCGTTTATGATGCAGTTGGTTTCAAGATGTTTTGCAATACTACTGCAGATTATGTGTTCTAGGATCTTGCATGTGACAACAGTCAAGGAAACTGGACGGTAGCTACTGGCACGTGATTTATCTCCTTTCTTGAAAACTGGAACAACAAAGACTTCTTTCCAATCTGATGGTATGGTGCCTTGATTGATTGATGCTTGAAAGAAATTGATAAATGTTGCTGCGAGGTATGGTGCAAGCTCTTTGAGAAGTCTTGTTGGGATCTCATCTGGACCAGCTGCTTTGTCATGTTTGTGGATATTCAAGTTACTTAACAATTTTAGTGTTTCATTTTCAGTTACATGTATTTTGTTCATTGTTGGATGTGGACTTTGTCCCTTATTAGGAATGGTATTAATATCCTCACTGGTGTTGAATACTGAGAAAAATTGGTCGTTCATAATATTTGCCTTTTTTTCACTTTCTGAGTATTAAAGTGAGTCCATCTTTGAGAGGTGAAACTCCAACAGATTCGCATTTCTTACTTTTAATAAGTCCCAAGAATCTTTTAGGATTTGCTGATAATTCAGGATTAATGATGTCGTTAATCATGTTAATGTAGTCTCTATAAGCCTTCCTACATTCTTTCTGTGTTGAGATTTTTAGTAGATGGTATCCTGTCAAGATCAGATTTTCTTTTGGTCTTTCTTGCTTTTTCAAACCTCTTTTTCTGTCTTGTTAGTTTTTTGATTTTCTGGTTTATCCAAGGTTGATTAAATCTTGAGGATGAAATTTTCGATGGTACTGTTTCTTCAAGTATTGTAAGTAAGTTGGATTTAATAAATTACCACATTACAGTTATAGGGCTGTCCAGGTTAAGTTTCTCTTTAAAGTTTGCATTCAATTTCATAGCCTTTTCACCTTGTTCTTTAACATCTGCCTTTTTCCCAATAGATATTTTTCTCTTCACAGGTTTGTTGATTTTAGCTGTTATATCAGTGTCGACGTATACGATGTCATGGTCGCCAATGCCTGGTAATGGCTCGCATCGATTCACTAATGAAGGCCAGTTTGTTAGAAATATGTCTAACATGTGGTTTTTTCTTGTGGGAAAAGTGACTTCCTGTTCCAGGTTGTGACCAATCACCTAAAATGAATAAAGCTCAAATGGAATATCTTTTTCCAGAATTAATATGTTATTTTTTTATTTTAACAAAAGGATTTAAAAGAGCATTTTTAAGGTCAGAATCCCAGTCTGTTTACCCTATAGAATCAATAGACCTTATTGCTATCTTTGACTCTGCAACACTTAACCTGTTAACTATTCTTTAGTTTAGGAAATAGTCAGTTTTTTTCTTTGATTGATTTTATTTAATGCTCAATGGTCATGTGATAAATTCAGGGTGAGGGGACCAATACAATATAAACTGCATGAAAACATAAACCTACTATCGTTGATTGGTAGCTAGGTTTTGGTTAGAATGAAGGGTTGAAAATAGAAAAAAAAGTGGTAGAATTTTTTTCGATGCAAGATGTTTCAGCCACACTGCCAGTTCGTCACAGTCGTTTTCAGGAATACTTTGTCAGTTTGTTTTTAGCCATGGTTTTTATTGTTTTAACAATGTTTAAAGGGAGGAAAATATAATTGATAAAAATGTGTATCAATATTTGTAAAAAATATGTAAGTCCATGATGTAATTCAAGACCATAAAGAATGAATATCATGACATCTCCTAGATTCAAGTGAAGATAAATTAATTTTTTCATAAACTTTAATTCAAATGCTTTCTTCTTCAGGGATACTGACAGATCTAATAACATCTAACTTGAACTTCATAAAAATTTTTTTAATAATTGTTTACCCTCAAACATGTCAAAGTGAATATTTTTCACTTCAGGTTGCACTTTGTAAATGCAGCTGTTTCACAAACCACACTCCTTTTGGGGAGATATATAATGTTCATGGATATATTGTTTTGTTTATGTACTGGTTTTCAGATATGAACTCTATGTTTCATCTCATAGAGACATAACTTGGGAATGTTACCAGTATAGATACACATGGATAGCGACGAAATTGAATTCTGAGGAAGACCCAAAGTGAAGGGAGGGGTAGTACAGAATTTAAGTATAAGATTAAACTTTTAGAAGTTTGGGGCATATAAATGTTGAAAATATGCCGCACAGCCCTATGTTTTGACCTTTGAATAAAAATTAAAATAGTAGTGCATATCAACTTTCCATTCTAGGATATAATTTTTTACGAAACTTCATAGTAAAAGTGGCACAGTTTTAACCGTAAAGGGGGTTCCTATGGGAAATTGCATTGTCTATATTTACAACCTTCAGTGCAACCTTCAGGTACAACGTACTTGTATATTCTCTCAAAAAACTACAAATTTTTTTCTTTTCTTTTCTGAGCCAATAAAGGCATTTAATGTGCCAGGAGGGAATAACTCCTGTGCTGCTACAATGAGATAGAAAGGTAACCCTGTTGAGAGAGCAGCGAACTCAGGGATGCGATATCATTTCTACTTTTGGACCTGTTCATGTTCCTGCTTCATAACTGTTTGCCCTGGATCTGTTTAACCTGATTGTGTCCACTGTCACAGGCCTACCAGCCCAGGGCCACATGGCTTGCAAAATTTCTGTCAGGTCTGTGAGAATTTCTTTTACAGGCTAATAGATTCTATACAAAAAGTTCCAAAAAAACTAGTTCATGTATGATATCAAACCTATGGCTGTTCAAGTTTATTGTGAAGAATTCTATCTGCTTACATCAATGTTTTGTTGATTGTGGTCTGTTTTATAAATGTTTAATGATATAACTTGTGTAAAACATGTTAAATAAGCATGTTTAAATAAATTTTGATAAACATGATAAAGGCTCTTTAAAAGAGTCATGTTGAAAACATAGACATGTTTGGTAATCTGGTTTTGTTTGAAATACATTATTGAGTTATGAATAGAAAGAATAATTCAGATGGACAAGATTAACATGGTTATGATGTTGATAATGAAAAAAAAAGATTACTATTATTATTGTTATTATTACCATCAATATGAACCAGGTGCTACAGGTTTGATTGCATTTTTTTTTTACCTTTAATCATGCATGGACTTTCAAACAATTAGATATATATACAAATTGGCAGAAATGGGTATGCTGCTCTATGATGTTAACAAAATAATCCTTAAAGAAAAATAAAAACCGGAAGGAAATTTTTCTAGGGCCATAGTATACATGGTATATCAACCCTCCTACCATATATATATGCTCCCTTCAGGGATGTAATGAGTTTATCACAATGATAATTCTGTCAGGTGTTCTAGATTGGTATTGAAGAGGGTGTCTCACCTGTTGAACTGCTTTAAAAAATATGCAGATATTCAGTCAAGGATTTTAGTTTTACATGTATTCAAACCCTTTGATGAGTGTTAAAACTTTCTTGGTATAATCTATGATTAAACACATACCTGCTCAAATGTGCCAAGCTGTGAAAAATAATCTTGTTTTATAATTCATACCTGGACTGATTTGACTGATTCCAAACTGACTTGTTTACTTTCTATAAAGTTGTTATTTTAATTAATCAACCTAAGCTATAGTTACAACCATAGTAATCAAAGACATACTCATAATGGGCTTTCATTAAAATATTAAAATTAGAAATATCAAAATTAATTCTAATACAGCAATCCATTAAGGAAGTCGACAGCCCTGAGTGAAGAATAATTATTATAAAAAATTTCAAAAATGTATATTCAAGTTTTCTTCCATATTTTTACTTTTACCCTTATGTTAGGGAATAATTAATGTACATGCATTCATAAAAACCTAAATACCATTAAAATAAATGTGTTTTTAATTTTTTAAAATAGGGCAAACAAAGCAAGGGTGACTGATCTCTGTGGGAGACAGAACCCTAGGTGAATGGACTCTGGGTGACTATGTTATTGAGGAGAATTGACCCAATTCCTTTAAATCAAGAGTAGCTTAGACCTGGGACCAATATGTTGACAGTTATCCTTTTTCAAGATAGCAGCAACTTTAAATATGCTACTTTTCCAGAAACTTAATAAGTAGCTAGATTGATCCCTCTGACATGCCTGAAAACCTCCATCTTCTAAGGGAACAATCTCAGTAACACACAGGTATCAAGAATGTGTGTGATGGTATGTTCCTTTGTGATTAACTAACAAAGACATTAACCAAAAGTTGATGCATTTTATTTGATAATTTGCCCTTTTATTTTCCCTATAATCCCAAATATTGTTTTTGGCACTGTAGATATCTCCCAAATGGGTTACATGTATATATGCTACCAAACATTGCATATTTTTGGCTTTCCTAAATTTTGAATGATGAACAGAAGGATATTCTAAAAAACATGTATTGTTTTTGCTATCAACTATTTCAAATACTAAATATTGATATATGGTATGTTGTGATCAGGAGCTTCACTAAATACCAGAAAGCCCCGAAAAGATAAAACCACCACTTAATTTAAGTTGGACATCAGAACCACCACTACAAAAACAGTGTACAGAAACATAGGAGGCAAAGCATCAATAAACATGATAAAAGAGGAGGCAAAGCATCAATAAACATGATAAAAGAGGAGGCAAAGCATCAATAAACATGATTAAAGAGTACTTACAGCTCGTTCAAAGGCCAATTTTGAATAATTAGTAAATCATGTTTTCCTAGATTAACCAGAACACCTCCATGGAATTTAGTGATTAGACATTTAAAGCATTCTGAGAATAGCATGACCTTGTGGATGTCTGCCTGTAGGTTGACTAAAGAGTGTTCATCTGACTTTGACTTCATAAGTTTTTGCTTGAACATTTCAACCTAAAATTCAATTATAATCAGTATCTAGAGCACTTGCATAGTGCATAGTTTCACAACAGTTGTTTAAATAGATTAGTTGTTAGTTGGTCTATATGCTTCTTTTATAGAGAACTACACCAGTTTGCTGTAGATGTTTACACAGAGAACCATTAGATCAGTCATGGAAGGAGAAAGCAAAGAAGGAAATCAAAGGAAAAGATCCAGATGATGTACTGATTTGGAAGACTCCTGAGGTAAACAGTCATCATTGGAAATACATGTACATACCAGCACACTGTATATCGTTTTTTTTTTGTGTGTGTGATTTTTGCATGATTTGATGACAAAATGGACAAGTCAAAATTACACTATGTATTATTTAATTTATTTTTGCTGATTGGAAAAATGCAAACGAAAAGAATCATTGAAGTAAATTGAGATGTACACAACAGAAACTTAATTCACTGACAGGAAATAAATGACAAATAAATATGAGTACTACAAACAAAAATACACATAATTTGGAGAACATTCAAGGAATGTAATTTATGAACCATGTGGCATGCGAAAAATGGAATGTTTTGATAAGTTTTTGTGATAGTATAACAGAGCATATAATTTCTAAAGCATATTTATGCAAATATCGGTGTAAACGTGATTTATCTTTATTTATTTTACATTATTTGCAAATTGTTGGGTTATGACAACAATCAATTGGTTGTCGTTAATTAACATTTATGAACATGTCACTGATTGCTGTATTGTTAAAAGGTATGACATGTATGATTATATTTTAGATAATTTAAATATTATGAAAACAGAGATCTCGATAAAATATGCTCTTTCTTGAGATCTGTTGATCAACACAATAGACTAATTTTCTATGGAATGTTATTTAACATTTAGGATGAAAAGAGTTTAAATACTTATTTTGTGTTTTCCCTATAATTTACAGTGAAATGTATGTATAAAACAGTGATAAATCTTGGAATATGCTTTGTATTCAAATTTTTCTAGTTTTTTTTTTAGCTACCATGAAATGAACAAAGGAAAAACCAAACACTCACAAAAAAATTGATATAATATGTTTAGGGTATATTTGAGAGATTTGAATACACATATATCCAAAATTAAAATCTCTACACCAACTTCTGTTTTTCCCCTCAAAATGTACATATAAGAATTGTTGCTTTTTGCTGATGTTTTCAAGTCTTTGGACAATCTTCAGGAAGTTAGCTCTGAAATTTGTCCATGATAGAATTGAATTACCATATAGTCATGGTATTTCATAAGTTCATTATATAATTACTAGATAACACACCAGGGGACACAATCCAAATAATTTGTATTCAATAAACATGGCTAACAAGCCTCCAGTTTTGACCATTTCATGTCATATCTATTATACATCAGTAACTTTGTGATTTTTTTATGCCCCACCTACAATAGTAGAGGGGCACTATGTTTTTCGATCTGTGCGTATGTTCTTTCGTTCGTTCGTTCGTCCATCCGTCCGTTCGTCTGTCTGTCCCGCTACAGGTTAAAGTTTTTGGTCAAGGTAGTTTTTGATGAAGTTGAAGTCCAATCAACTTGAAACTTAGTACACATGTTCCCTATGATATGATCTTTCTAATTTTAATGCTAAATACGAGTTTTGACCCCAATTTCACGGGCATCCTTGTACTCTGGAAACATTCATGTTTCCATTGTGTAAATTTTAAGCGGAGTTGCACAACATACAAGTTAGTTTACAGTATGATGAATGACAGGTTGGCAAGCTCGCATGATAAAAAGGGTAACTGTTTTATGTGACTAAATCCCAGAGCCTTCAGAGTATACCTTGTAGTTGTGCACCGTTTTTGTGAACACAATTTGAGGATTTTTTCAGATAAAAAACTTTATTTGTAATGAACACCTACAGTTTTTAACTCAAAAGACCCTTACTTTCTAGAATGTAAATAGACATACAATGTGCACCTCACTACTGCTCATTTTGTGTACACCTTTGAATTTTTTTGTAGATGATGACACCTACTCTTCTTTCAGTAGCATTCTTGATGGAACCCAGGAGGGTACCCATTTTGTGTAAAAAACTGCTCTTAGGTTTTTAACTCTGAGACCTCAAACTTCTTAGGCTGTTTTTTTAGATGTCTCCTCACTTTGTATACTTATTAAGGTGATCCTTGCAGACTTTTCAAATGGTGAAATTTAGTCAATGTTCTTGATGGAAGGTATTATTAATTAGATTTTGTCTATACTAACTAACATCTCCTGGAGATTTATTTTTCCCTTGTTTTGCAATTTTTTTTCGAAATCAGTACGTAGATATCAACTTTCTTTACTAGCATTATGGAATTAATTCAGAGTAATATACATCAAAACAAATGTACTAACAAACAATTATGCATCAGATAATATTGCAGTAAAGGAAACTTGAAAATATCTGAAATTTCAGGGCATCAATGTTAAGCCAGTATACACAAAGAAAGACACAGAACATGTTGAGAAAGAACTGCCTGGACTATTTCCTTACACAAGAGGACCCTATAGCACAATGTACACATATAGACCTTGGACTATCAGACAGGTAAGTGGAAACATCAGGTCTGTATAGTGGAAAGTATTCATACAGAGTGTTGACCTTCAAACAGGATTCCTATTCAAACAAGGTCTCTATATTAAAGTGTATACATGCAGACTATCAGACAGGCTAGTAGACCTTTTTATAAGAATACTGTAAATTCAGAGTATTTGTGTGCATTTTATTTCGCCATTGTTGAGCAGAGAATGGACAAAAATATGAGATTAATTGTGATTCAAGAAATGCAGCATAGAAATAATGCTATCAGAATGAAAATGTGAGTTTTTATTTTTGTGAACCCTATCCCATCACAGTTTTCACAATAATAAAAACATCGTAAAATTTCTGGCAGGAAACCTATCAATCCAAGTCAATTAAGATCAGAGTCATAAGCACCTTGTCAGGATCTTGGTTCCAAATCAAAACTCCAGTGTTGACTGGGTACTGATCATTGTAGATGAACTAAGAACACTTGACCACTGAGGCCCTACATAAAAGTAACTTATTGTACAAATAAAACTTTATACATACAGACCTTATCAGACAGGTTTAATAGTGGATGTCTTGAAAAAGCAAACCTTATAAAATACAATATATACAGCTAAACATAGACCTTTGACCTTCAGATAATAATTGAAAAATTGCCTGAGTAGAAAAGGTTGGAAAGTACAATAGAAAATGAAAGGATATGGAGTAAATGTACATGGGACAAAATCGCACACAATACATAGAAAACATAGAAAATTATCAATGAACAGGGCTTTTATTCCTGTTCTTCATCTTGACAGTTGATGTAGGGTCTTCAACAATGAACGAATCATTCATACCCTACAAAGTACAATGAATACATACAGACTGTTGACTGTAAGGTACAGGAGTGAACAAATTACATTACATTACATTACATTACATTACATTACATTACATTACATTACATTACATTACATTACATTACATTACATTACATTACATTACATTACATTACATTACATTACATTACATTATGAAGGTTACTTTCTGCTTCTCTTATTTCCTATCAATAAAAATCCAAGTAACAAACATGAAATTAAACAAATAGATATGATAAATAGAAGCTATCAATACCAAATATGAAAACTCATATCAATCAAAGTTTGTCTCATTTTATAAGTATGCAGGATTCAGTACTGTTGAAGAAAGTAACAAGTTTTACAGAGACAATATAGCAGGAGGACAACAAGGTCTAAGTGTGGCATTTGATCTTCCAACACATAGAGGGTGAGCTTAGTTTATTTATTATATCATTTGACCATCACTAGCTGGTTTTTTATCAAGTCTTTTTATGCCCCCGCCGTAGCGGAGGGGGCATTAAGTTTTACCCTTGTCTGTACGTAAGTCCGTCTGTACGTCCCAAAGTTGGTTTCCGTTCTCTAACTTTAGTTTGCCTCTACCAAATACTATGAAACTTATACACAATGCTTATTACCACAAAACACAGATCAAGTTTGAATTTTGGTGGCGTCACTTTAACCGTTCTAGAGTTATGCCCCTTTACAAATGGAAAAATTACTGAATTTTTCGTTTCCGTTCTCTAACTTTAGTTTGCCTCAACCAAATGCTATGAAATTTATTTGAATTTTGGTGGCGTCACTTTAACCGTTCTAGAGTTATGCCCCCTTACAAATGGAAAAATTACTGAATTTTTCGTTTCCGTTCTCTAACTTTAGTTTGACGCAACTAAATACTATGAAACTTATACACAATGCTTATTACCACAAAAGACAGATCAGGTTTGAATTTTGGTGGTGTCACTTTAACCATTCTAGAGTTATGCCTCTTTACAAATGGAAATATTGCTGAATTTTTGTTTCCGTTCTCTAACTTTAGTTTGCCTCGACCAAATGCTATGAAACTTATACAAAATGCTTATTACCACAAAAGACAGATCAAGTTTGAATTTTGGTGGTGTCACTTTAACCATTCTAGAGTTATGCCTCTTTACAAATGGAAAAATTGCTGAATTTTTGTTTCCGTTCTCTTACTTAAGTTTGCCTCAACCAAATTTTATGAAACTTAAACATAATACTTATTACCACAACACTCAGATCAAGTACAAATTTGGGTAGGTTCACTTTTACCGTTCTTCAGTTATGTTCGTTTATAATTTTATATGATATTCAAGCAGGGGCATCATCTGTGTCCCATGGATACATTCCACATTTATTTGTTGCTGATTTGACCACAAAATCTAAATCATCAATTGTGTCTCTATCACAGTCTTGTATGTAATATTTAGACAACAGAATTTATAAAAAGTAAGTGTTTTACAGGATCAGGTATTATTTATTATAAGAGCTATTACCTATTCCTATCCCCAAAAATTCTGAAAAAAGTTGAATCTTTAATCCTTTTAAATTTAAGTTATTTCGATTGTTAAATGGAAAGGATGATTATATCCAGACAATTAATAACAAAAATGTTAGTTTTGATGTCACTTTGATGTCATAAAATTATTTAAAATGTTCAAATTCAGATATTTGACCTAAAATTGGCCAATTTGCATATAGATTTTGCCAAAGTTAGAGATGGACATGAAACTAAACTTCTGTTTTTTCAAGTAACATCTTATACAAAATTCCTTTGGGGAATAGAACTTCATCATTTGTTCTTTTAACAGAGATAATGAAGCTGTAATGACCATAAAAGGCTTCTCATCAGTTACAATTTTTTTGCCTCATACTGATGACATTGTTTATGTATTCAACTTCTGTTGCTTATGATTAATTACTAATTGGTGAAATGCACATGAATAATTAAGGGGGACAAGGGTCCTATTTTGTATTTGTATTTTAGTATAGTTGGTTTTTATCAAACACAGTACAAATTATATTTACTGTGACAGTTTTATAATGATGGAATTCTTGTTATGGATTTCTTGGTTTACACACATCCTGAATATCCAATGATGAGGGGCCTGATGGGTTATTTTCGTTCTTCGTGATCGGCGCATTTTCGCTAGCGTGATCCGTTTTTCTACAGATTTTTTTTTTTTTAATATTTTCGTGATCTGTGATCATGGAAATTTATTTTCTGTGAATCGTGATTGACAAAAAAATCAACTCGTGAATCGTGATGAGACCCCCCATCAGGCCCCTCAATGATATTCAATATTTTCTCAGAATTTATTTTTAAATTGGCTGCTTAACAGTCAAAGTAAGCACCATATTTGTGATATGCTAAACAAAACTGAAAGCAATAAGTATAAATAAATGGCAAAATTTGGCAGGTTTCAGCTCATTTTGAAAAACTCTGTGCGTATTGATGTCTTTTTTAGTAGATCTAAAATCACCAATTCAATTACCCACTATTACACATTAATTTCCAAAACATTTAAAAATTTAAATTCTTTAAAAAACATTACATATATTAAAGTTGAATGTTATTTTAGTTATGATTCTGACAACCCAAGAGTAGTTGGAGATGTAGGTATGGCAGGTGTAGCTATAGATTCTGTGGAGGATACTAAATTATTGTTTGATGGAATCCCTCTCAATAAGATTTCTACATCCATGACGATGAATGGTGCTGTACTACCTGTTATGGCAATGTACATTGTGGCTGCTGAAGAACAGGTGGGTGTAACATACAGGTTATCTAATGTGTAATATATAAGTGATGTAATGTATACTTACTGGTGTGTGTATATAGTGTGAATAAATATGTGTAATATATAGTTGATGTAATGTATAATTACTGATGATAATTATGGTGTGAGTAAATATGTGTATTATACAGGTTATATATATGTAAGGTGAAGGTGTAATTACTAGTGGTAATATGGTGTGAAGAAATATATATGTAATACAGTTGTTATGTAAATGCATAACTGTTGCAACATGTAGAAGACAAATAACTAGTATGCAAAATATTTCGGATAAAACTAATTTCTGAGGAACAAAACATCACAATTACGATGCTTGATCAAGAATGTATGTGTTGCCTTGCTACAAATATACAACTTGTACTGATCTGATAGTTATGCTGTTTTTATTTCACTAATGATGTTTCTGACATGAAACTCCAGCATCTTAATAAAATCATAACCTTCCTTGGTATGTGTGGTAATAGAAAGTTTTTTTTATTATCTCAAAGTGGATTTTCAAATCTTTGATACTTTGCCATCTACCTAATGAATCATTACTTTGTTATAAGAAATATTTTTTCAAAATAGTTTTTTATAATACCAAATAATATATCTTATCATAACTGTTGATATCTTTCAATGTCTTAATAATATTGTTTGTTCTAATGCTGACAGGGAGCTAAGCAGTCAGAGTTGGCGGGTACAATACAGAATGATATCCTCAAAGAATTTATGGTCAGAAATACTTATATATTCCCACCAGACCCGTCAATGAAAATCATAGGAGATATCTTTAAATACACATCAGAGGTAAAGTAATAGTTATTGTTGAAATTGAAATAATGATTCAGTTGATAATCCTTAAAAAAATGAAAAGAACACTCAAAGTGGAATATTTGAAAGCCAAGGATGTATAAGAACTGAAAAATTTAAGAGCTATATGACCGAAAAGGACCTACAAATAATAGCCAAATTCATCTAAGATTAACTTTGCCTGAGAGAGAGTTGAAATCTTAGTTTCTTAATAATTTCTAAATTTGTAAAGAATTTAAGAAAGCTTGTTATATATCATTTCAGTACCAAATTATTGACTACTGAGTTGATGATACAGACACTTCTGACAGGAACTGATAGTCCATTAGCAGTGGTATTGACCCAGTGCTGAACTGTCTTAATATTCTAACCATACAGATTTCATAAACAGATCTATATAGATATACATGAACAACTTTTGATAATCCAAACTTAAGGAATGCAAATATATGGCTTCAATAATAGAGTGTCTTCCCTGTATCATGTAACTAGACATGGAATTTCATCTACTATGTATTATGAGCATGATGGACTTACATGTTTTCATCTTTCAGACATTATTTTTTAATTTGTTAGGATTTAATTCAATTTTATGATACAGGGTTTCCCCATGGTCAATTTTTTTTTTCACCACTTCTTTCGCCAAAACAATATATTTATTGCCACTTTCAATTTTTTTTGGCCAAATAACATAAACATATTTTTCGTTTAAAACTTTCCTTCTTTCTAACAAAAAAAAATCAGTTTGCCGCATAGTTGTTTCTACAAATCTTTTTTTTAATCTACATTGTAATAAATAAACACTTAACATTTACTTTTTAAATCATCACCAGATTCATCTTCAATTTATCGGATATTACTTCCCGTCTAGTTGAAGAATAGACTACGGCAGAGATTTTTCTTTTTTTTAATATCCTTCGTAGCAACAGATTTCTTTTCCGGACAATTGTAAAAAGAACAATTCAAACCGTAAAACTATGCTTCAAATACTTGCGTCGTCAAAATGATTGTAAAGTATCCATATTTTTATCAAAGTTAAAAGATAAGTTTAAAGTCAGAGATTTTCTTGATTTTGAACATTTTTCGTCGTAACAACAGTTTTCTCTACCGGATCACCATTAAAAGAAAAAGAGGAGATGTAACGATATGCTTCAACCATGAACGTCCCTAAAACGATTGTGATGTACCTTTTTCAAAACAATTATTTCTATCAAAGTTGTAAATAAATCCTTAAGTTGACATGTGAAACCATTTAACCACACCAATTCATTAAACAATACAATCAACATCTTTATTAGTCCCCTACCGACGAAGTCGAAGGAGACTTTAGGTTTGCACTCTGTCCATCTGTCTGTCCGTCCGTCCGTCTGTCCATCCGTCAGTCCGGCAACTCAGCTTTCCACACTTTTTTTCTTCGTTCTTGAAGATATTGATTTGATATTTGGTATATAGTTTTATAATGACAAGTTATAGATCAAGTTCGAATTTTGTTCCGGTCTGATGATTTAGTCCAGAGTTATGGTCCATAAAAAAATCCATAACTAATGTAAGAGTATACTATGTCAAACTATATATCTGTACAAAGGGAGATAACTCATTTTTTAAAAGACATTCTTTGGTAAATTGTTTGAGGAATTTTGTGGCAGATTTATATGTTATTTTGTATAAACTAATTTTCTGAATGCTACATGTATATATATATATTTTTTTTTTATTAAGTGAAATCCTTTAATTAGATAATAATCTATTTTTATTAAAGTTAATATTTTATTACATTACATTGTGTAGATAAAAGTTGTTGACATTGGAACTATTAATTATATTTGATTGTAATTCAAAAATAGATATACATTGTATTACATCATATCTAATGTTAGAGTGTTATAGGTTTTTCACACTTTTTTTCATCATGCTTGAAGATATTGATTGACAATTGGCATATAGTTTTATCATGACAAGTTACAAATCAAGTTCAAATTTTTGTTTCAGTCTGATAATTTTGTGCAGAGTTATGGTCCTTGGACTTGAAAAAATTCTCTCATATATTCAGTTTTCCACACTGTTTTTAGTCATGCTTGAAGATATTGACTTGATATTTTCTATTTGTTTACACCATGACAAGTTATAGAACAAGTTAGCATTTTGTTCCAGTATAATGAATTTTTAACCGGTAGGGGACTTTGTATTGCCATGCAATACTCTCAGAATGCTTGTTAATTAGTTCGTTGTTGCTTATAGCTAAATGCAATTAGCTAATTATTGATTTTCTGTCAAAATTGTAACTAGTTAAAGGTGAATTCCCAGTATTGTCTGATCAGATTAAGTCCGAGAAACCTGAAAAAAATAAACAAGATGGATAAAATCGAACTGTTATATTTCTTTCGCCAAATTCTTTTGCCAATAATGAATTTTGATCGCCATAATTTTTATTTTTTCACAAAATGTGAAAATGGCGACCATCAGCGGAAACCCTGATGATATATTATAAAGGGTCACTATAGATCTTGCAATACAATGTTTTGAAACAAAGAAACATCTAGATATGTGACATATATATATAATATATATTTCATGTGATTGTAATAGACTAAGAACAAGCTTCTTTTGCATCCTTCATATTACAAAACAACATTAAAGTGATACACTCATATACCACAAAAATTTCAAGAACTCATGTAAATTACTTTAGATAACATACATAGGAGTAAATCATGATTTACAAAATAACTGGTATACACATATAGTTTTTTGCACACATAAAAAATTGTTATGACAAAAAACTCTTGACATTTATTTATTAAAAAATACAAGGAATTTACATTATTTCAATATATACCTGTCTGTAGTAATTGGTTTTCTTCTCAGAACATGCCAAAGTTTAATTCCATATCTATATCTGGATACCACATGCAAGAAGCTGGTGCAGATGCAGTTTTGGAAATGGCTTTTACTTTGGCAGATGGTTTGCAATACATCAAAACAGGTAAATGGAGGAATATTTTAGACAAGAATATGGATAAACAGAGAAGAGTGATAAATATCATTGAGATATCAACCCAACCAAACAAGTTTAACAAAAATATACAAATAAATGATTTATAGTAACACTTCTTGAAAAATGTTTTAGTAAAAGTAGACATCAAAATAGTGATAAATTATTGCTTTACAACTCTCTTGTTTTATTTAGAAATAAAGAGATATAAAAGGTTTGTTACTTGAGCATAATCTAATGACTCTTTCCTTGAAAAAAGACGGTTGTCTTTTGAAATACCTTTTTATAGCCATTGTAGAATTAATTATAACCTTTAATCATACATGAAACACTGAATAACTGAGTACAACAGATTCATATACAGGATTTTTAAGTTTTAGTGTTTTTCAAATGAATTTAAATTTGCATAATTAGTATATCAAGGTATTTTTTGTATCGGTTAAGAGGACTTTAAGTAAGTAAGTAATCAGGTAAATACTGTAGAAACATTAATTTTCGTGGGGTTAAAATTTCGTGGTTTTGTCTCTTTATAAAATTTCATGGGGATTTTATTTCGTGGTTTCCAGTAAATGGAAGTGATATTATATGTATTTTAAATTTTAATGGGGGTTTTAATTTCGTGGATATATTCTTTCCACGAAATAAACGAAATTAAATCCTCCACGAAAATTTCTGCTTTTACAGTATTTAATTATAATGTCACAACCGAGTATTATACAACAATACTGTACATCAGATGAAAGCACTACAAAAATTATATTAGATTCCTGTTTTAAAAGACATGAGACACTTAAACCTTTACCCATTAAATGCATTCAGAATTTTGAAATAAAGCTAAATGTTAAAATATTACTAAATATGAATGTAACTAATTATTTACAATTGATAAGCATACTAAGAACAAATGTGCATTCCTTGCAATTCAGCACATGAAAAAACAAACTCACAAAACGAGATAGTAATTGCAAGAATATAGTTATGAGCTTTCCATGTATTCTCCATTTTTTTAAGTAAGCACTTTCAGTTTTAAAGCTGCCACAAATAGTTATATTGGAAAATAGACAAAATAAAAAGCTCTTTCACTGATTTTTGGTATGGTGCCCTTTTTAGAAGATGAAAACAGTTTCAACAAAATGAGTTTGAAAAATTTTTAGGATGAAGATTTTGTCAGCTAGGCTTTGAGACATATTTTTCAAAGAAAATTAAGAATTAAATTTTTTTTTTCATTATTTCATGAGGCAGTACAAATTAACTATGTGTTCTGATGAAATAAACAGTTTAAAAGAATATATATTTAGAAACAAGGTGACCCTCAAATACATTTATTTTTCAGGTTTAAGCAGAGGTCTTGATATCGATAAGTTTGCTCCACGTTTGTCATTTTTCTGGGGAGTTGGAATGAATTTTTATATGGTATGTCTTAATAAAACTTTAATAGTATCTAAAAACTTTGAAACTGAACTACACCAGATACTATGTAGGCCATATGCAACTATTCCAGTTTTAATTAGGTCCGATAACTCTGCATGTTACTGGTTAATTAGGATTATGTAAAATTTACTGGTTACCCGTGTGATGGAATAATTTAGAAAATTGAAAAATATAGACATTTCACCTCAGTTAACATCCATTCAAGGTTATTTTTTATTAATTTAAAATAATATCATTAAATAATTTCATTAAGAATCGTACAAAACTACATAGGTCTTGTCAAAACTGTGCATTGCACCTGATCATGGTGTAAGTGTAGAAAAGACATTGTTTGTTTTCTTTGATCACGTCGGTGTTATGACTTAACATCTCCTTAATCCAGCTATGTATTAGGGTATTATTAGAAAGACAATTACATGTCAAATTTAATTGCAATATTTACACCGAAATCAAATATAAATATTTGCATGGAAGAAATTAATGTCTAACATCGTCTACGTTTGAAAATTAATTGGTCGCCATGTTTTTCATAACTTCGAAATTTTATCACAACGAACAAAATGAATCCACTTTCTCAAAAAGAAACATTGTTTGATTCTATGCTGCTTTTAGGTAAGACAATGACTGAAAATGTATGCATCCAACAGTTATTTGATTTCCATCGTAAAAATCCTATAAAATATCTTTTCACAAGTCGAGTTACGATGTCAATGTAAGTCATGTAAACAGTGCACGATCGATGCATATAAATCTTTATTTTGTGTGCGAGAGACTGTTTATTTCTAATATATATAAACTAAAGTGAAGGTGAAATAAGTAATTTCTTAAAAATAATAAGACACACTTTAAATATTGCAATATTACTTTTTAATTAATAATAAATAAAACATGCTGTGTTGTTGTTTACGTCCAACAGCGGCCGCCATTTCCTAATTTTGCTAACGAATGCCAAAATGTGAACTTTTCAATCGAAACAAAAAGTTTATTGCCTAAAGTGATTTGGTTTTCGATTTCTTTGAAATAAATGTATTGTGGACCTTTTTAGGGGTTGGAAGGATATTATTTACAATAGAAAAGTTGAGAAAATTGATTATTTAAGAAGGTCCCATTGCAATTTTATCGAGTTTTAACGAGGAAGTTAATGGAGGCTGTGTGGTTATGGCACCTCAATTTTCAAACTTAATTTGAAGCAAGAAGTCATATTTCTGAACTGAATTTTAGAACATAATTAATTGTTAATAGGAAAATTCTTAAAAACGAGGTGTTGGAAGGTAAAATACACAATGTAATAAAAAAGCTATGATCATTTAATTTATGAGGCCTGTTCATTTTCATTGATAAAACGATTGGCCATAAATGATATACAACTGAATTGTAAAAGTCACTTGATGACCGCGATAGTTGGATATGTTTCCAGCTGAAATTTTAAAAGTTCAAAAAGTGATAGCAAAATGATGTGAATAAATAACTATCTTCAACAACAATTCAAAACGGCTATGTAAACCGTAATATTCCATTCCGTTACAGAGATTTTGAATATATCGTAAAAGCATCCACTTTATACATGTATTCTTTTTTGTTTAAATTTTTACTACTGGTTACAAGTTAAGAGCACAAGAACCATAGATCTTAAAACCTATCTATTTAGATGTAAATAAGTTTTATTATTGTGAGTGTTAATGATCTACTTTTGATAAACCATTTATATTTTGAATGTTGTTACATTAGCATCTAAAATAAATGTGAGACATAGGTACATGGTCATAGGGTTGATGGAAAAAAGTTTTTGTCTGTTTTACAGAAGGATTGTACGTTAATAAAAGTTACTTTTTGTGGAGTGAAATGAATAAGGATTCAAATAATGTATGATTTATCTTCCTAAAAATAGATATTACAATTTTGAGACAGAAACTTGTCACCGAAAGCTGTGTAGGTGATTACAATGTTTTCATATGGACTGCGCTCTGACGTCTGACTGCCTCAGCAGACAGTTAAAAGTATTCCAATCATACTAATAATTATTATTGCATGCAAACAGTATAATAAAATTAGATTAATCTGATTTTTTTTTTAAAGTGTAAGTAGATAAATATTTTATAAATGTTCATTTGCTTTTTTTTTTAGGAAATTGCAAAAATGAGAGCTGCAAGAAGACTTTGGGCAAACCTATTAAAAGAAAAGTTCAATCCAAAGAATCCTAAATCTTTATTGCTACGAACACATTCACAAACTTCAGGATGGTCATTAACAGAACAGGTATATGATCAAAATACTGAACCAATGTAGGAAGGTTTTATTAAGTCTCCCAAACAAAGTTTGGGAAGACTTATTGTTTTTGCTCAGTTCTTATTATTATTATTCTTCTTCTTCTTCTTCTTCTTCTTCTTCTTCCGCCGCTTTTAAATTTGAACTTGTCCGCACCCGTTCTCCAAAACCGCTTGTCAGATTAACTTAGGGTTTCACAATATGTTAGACTAACATGTCTAGTGGTGCAATCAGGGTTTTGTTTGTGCAATGGGGTTTATAAAGGGGTACTTTGAGGGGCAAAAAGAAAAGAGGGTTTTACTATAGAACCCTATGGGATTTTATTTTTTAAAATTTTCAAATGATTATAAATTGAAAACCGTTTGTGATAGACACAATCTTTTTAATTGAAAATGTTCTAAATGATAAAGCCCATTAAATGAAACACAGGGTTAGTCCCCAGGGGTCACCCCCACCCCCTGCCATTTAAGAAAGTTCTAATACCTTGTAAGTGGTCAAGATCCCCACCCCTAAACCATATATATTCTGGTTTGTCATGCTAAGATGGTTTGAATGATATACAGGGTTAGTCCCAAGGGGTCATCCCGACCCCCTGCCATTTGAGAAAGTTCTAATATCTTGTAAATGGTCGAGATCCCCACCCCTAAACCATATATATTCTGGTTTGTCATGCGAAGATGGTTTGAATGATATACAGGGTTAGTCCCCAGGGGTCATCCCGACCCCCTGCCATTTGAGAAAGTTCTAATATCTTGTAAATGGTTGAGATCCCCACCCCTAAACCATATATATTCCTATTTGTCATGTCTCGAACATTTGAATGACGTATACGGTCAGTCCCCAGGGGTTCCCCCACCCCCAATGTTCTAATATCTTGTAAATGGTTGAGATCCCCACCCCTAAACCATATATATTCCTGTTCGTCATGTAATGAACATTTGAATGACGTATAGGGCCATTCCTCAGGGGTTCCTCCCCACCCCCAATGTTCTAGTATCTTGTAAATGGTCGAGATCCCCACCCCTGAACCACATATATTCTGGTTTGTCATGCCAAGATGATTTGAATGATATACAAGGTTAGTCCCCAGGCATCACTAATGCATATAACTTTACTGGACCAAACCAATTTTCACTGGACGTTGCCCAATGTCAGGCGACCCTGGGAATTACGAATTATGGCAGCTTCATTTGGGAGACTTCGTAACAGCATCCTGTTACAATCATTTCTTGTTTTAAATGTTCTGCCTAGGATAGTAGGTAGACATAATGTTTTCTGGTTTGTGTGTCAGTCCATCCGTTAGTCCATCTGTTTTGCCCATGCATCTGTCCAGTATTATGTTAAAGTTGTGGTTTAAGGTAGTTTTCCATGAACTTGTGGTCACATGAACTTTAAACTTAGTAAACATGTTCTTTATGATGGGAATTTAAAAAAATATATGTAAAAATTAGAGTTTCAACTAACATGGATATGTGACTACTCTAATTCATCTGAATATTGTAGCCTATGTGAAACAAACCAAATATAAAGGCTGCTTATTTCTTTGTCAGTCATAATTACAATATACTTAGATTTATGTTGAAATATGTCTGAATATTTGAGTAAAATATGTAAGGAATTTTTTTCGATAAAAAACGAACCCAGCTGTTTATTTATGTTTCAGGATCCTTATAACAATATAATAAGGACCTGTGTAGAGGGAATGGCTGCAGTGTTTGGTGGAACCCAGTCCTTACATACTAACTCATTTGATGAGGCCTTAGGATTACCTACTCCATTCAGTGCTAGAATTGCTAGAAATACTCAGATAATACTACAAGAAGAATCTGGTATCACTAAGGTATCATTACCTTTGGTTTAGGAATAACTAAATGAAGGTTTATATTGTGCTTGATAAAGGAAATTTAAGGTGTCTAAGATGTTTCTTTCTGAGCGGGCAAGTTAAAAATTCAGCTTAGTTAGTTCGTTAAGTACAAAACAGGGTCAATATTTTTATCACTTAAATGGAAACAACACTTTATTTTTTTTGTGCGTCCAAAGTATTTTTCTGGATTTACCGTCATCAGGTACACTCAAACCCAAATGTTTGAAAGCCTAGGACAATGTAGGATGTATAAGACCTTAACATTTAAGAGTTATATGACCAAAAGGGACCTTAAAAAATACAAATTCATCTCAGGTCTATTTCTTCTGAGGAAGTTGGAACCTTAGTTTCTCATTAATTTCTTAAATATGTTCTCACCCAAAATATAGCTACAATAATCTGCTGGAGAATACATATAACCAACTAATCTATCAGTGGACCAACAGCTAAAATTTCACTGCTTTAAATGCTGTCATAAAACAAAAAAACAATTGAAGGTGTAATAAGGTTTGGATGAATTATTATAATCTGTAATTGCTTATTTACAGACACATGGAACTTTTGATTTTGTTATATAATGATACTTTATATAACACATTTCCCATTTATTTACATCTAAGGTTGAAATACACGCTTTACACTTTGATATTAATATACTAAAATGTTACTTTATAAAAAGACTATTCAGTTACTGGGGATTCATTACTATTCGTTGGATACCAATTTTCGTGGATACTGGTAAACCACGAATTCAAATGTTCAACTATTTACAAATTTTCCATTGGTTTGTATGCAGACTTTGGCAAAACCACGAAATTAAATATCCACCAAAATGCAAGTTTTCCTCAATCCACGAAAATTGGTACCCACGAAAATAAATGAATCCACAGTATATGTTCTTCTGAAGAATATAAAAATGAAGCTTACAGTAATATTTGAACAGGTGGCTGATCCATGGGGAGGATCTTACATGATGGAAAGCCTGACAGAAGAAATCTATGAGGCAGCACTTAACGTTATCAATGAGGTACTTCAGTAAGAGATGAACAAGACAAACTGTTGAATGGTGTCTAAATGTAGTTTGATGGCTAAAGTCTATTTGTGAATATCAGTCCATCATAATAAGAGGTCAAGTTCAATGTGATCCTTTGCTACAAAAATATAGTTTATATTTGATTTACAGGAGTGTGATTAAGTATGAAGTTATCTCTGTAAAGCAGTTGTTACCCTTTGCCCTCTGGTTTCTTTCATTTATTTAACAAACCCAGGAAATAATCTGAACGTACAGAAATTAGAAATGAAATTAATTAAGTTTTTTGTACAACCAACAATCAATCAATTAATCAGATCATTATTAAAAACTTAGTTAAAAATACTAAACCTTGCAATTACAACCCTTTTTTACAGATTGCAAGTATATGTGAATATATGAGGAAAATAACTTTCTAGTCGAGTTAACATAAAATTTTCTTTATGTAGCATCAATTTAAACACCTTTGTGTGGGGGTGTTAATTCATTTTTCTATATAAAAAAAAAGAAAGTATATAACTACATTGTAATTGTCTAGTTGTCGAGCCAGTGACTTTTGTCGCAGAAAGCTCAACATAGGGATAGTGATCCAGCGGTGGCCACTGCGGTGTTAACTAACTCTTAATATTTCAGAAGGTAGAAGACCTGAATGCTTCACATTTGTATATAGATACCTTATGTTATGAAGTTTCCATCTGTCATATTTCCTTTGTCCTTGACCTCATTTTCATGGTTCAGTGACTCCTTGAAAAAAAAGTATTTTTTGTAATGTTAATTTCTCTCCTATTATGAGTAATAGGATAAATATATTTGGTATGTGCATACCTTGCACAGTCCCCATGCCTGTCAGATAGTTTTCACTTGACCTTGACCTCATTTCATGGTTCAGTGAACAAGGTTAAGTTTTTGTGGTCAAGTCCATATCTCAGATACTATAAGCAATAGGTCTACTGCATTTGGTGTATGAAATGATTGTAAGGTGTACATGTCCAACTGCCAGGTGTCATCTGACCTTGACCTCATTTTCATGGTTCAGTGGTTAAAGTTAAGTTTTGTGTTTAGGTCTATTTTTCTAATACTGTATGCAATAGGTCAGCTATATTTGGTGTATGGAAATATTTTATGACATTCATGTCAGTCTGTTGTTTTATTTAACCTTGACCTCATTTTCACTGTTCATTGCTCAATGTTAAGTTTTTGTGTTTTGGTCTGTTTTTCTTTAAACTATAAGCGGTAGGTCACCTATGTTTGGTCTATGGAATGATTGTAAAGTGTACATGTCTGTCTGGCATGGTTCATCTGACCTTTAACTTATTTTCATGGTTCACTGGTTAAAATTCAGTTTTTGTGTTTTGATCTATTTTTCTAATACTGTATGCAACAGGTCAGCTTTATTTGGTGTATGGAAATATTTTATGATGTACATGTCAGTCTGGCAGGTTTTATTTAACATTGACCTCATTTTCACTGTTCATTGCTCAATGTTAAGTTTTTGTGTTTTGGTCTGTTTTTCTTAAAACTATAAGCAGTAGGTCACCTATGTTTAGTCTATGGAATGATTGTAAAGTGTACATGTCTGTCTGGCATGGTTCATCTGACCTTTAACTTATTTTCATGGTTCACTGGTTAAAGTTCAGTTTTTGTGTTTTGATCTATTTTTCTAATACTGTATGCAACAGGTCAGCTTTATTTGGTGTATGGAACTATTTTATGATGTACATGTCAGTCTGGCAGGTTTTATTTAACCTTGACCTCATTTTCACTGTTCATTGCTCAATGTTAAGTTTTTGTGTTTTGGTCTGTTTTTCTTTAAACTATAAGCAGTAGGTCACCTATGTTTAGTCTATGAAATGATTGTAAAGTGTACATGTCTGTCTGGCATGGTTCGTCTGATCTTGACCTCATTTTCATGGTTCAATGGTTAAAGTTACGTTTTTGTGTTTTTGTCTATTTTTCTAATACTGTATGCAATAGGTCAGCTATATTTGGTGTATGGAAATATTTTATGACGTACATGTCAGTCTGTTGTTTTATTTAACCTTGACCTCATTTTCACTGTTCATTGCTCAATGTTAAGTTTTTGTGTTTTGGTCTGTTTTTCTTAAAACTATAAGCAGTAGGTCACCTATGTTTGGTCTATGGAACGATTGTAAAGTGTACATGTCTGTCTGGCATGGTTCATCTGACCTTTAACTTATTTTCATGGTTCACTGGTTAAAGTTCAGTTTTTGTGTTTTGATCTATTTTTCTAATACTGTATGCAATAGGTCAGCTATATTTGGTGTATGGAAATATTTTATGACGTACTTGTCAGTCTGTTGTTTTATTTAACCTTGACCTCATTTTCACTGTTCATTGCTCAATGTTAAGTTTTTGTGTTTTGGTCTGTTTTTCTTTAAACTATAAGCAGTAGGTCACCTATGTTTAGTCTATGGAATGATTGTAAAGTGTACATGTCTGTCTGGCATGGTTCATCTGATCTTGACCTCATTTTCATGGTTCAATGGTTAAAGTTACGTTTTTGTGTTTTGGTCTATTTTTCTAATACTGTATGCAATAGGTCAGCTATATTTTGTGTATGGAAATATTTTATGACATACATGTCAGTCTGGCAGGTTTTATTTAACCTTGACCTCATTTTCACTGTTCATTGCTCAATGTTAAGTTTTTGTGTTTTGGTCTGTTTTTCTTTAAACTATAAGCAGTAGGTCACCTATGTTAAGTCTATGGAATGATTGTAAAGTGTACATGTCCGTCTGGCATGGTTCATCTGATCTTGACCTCATTTTCATGGTTCATTGCTCAATGTTAAGTTTTTGTGTTTTGGTCTGTTTTTCTTAAACTATAAGCAATATGTCAACTATGTTTGGTGTATGGAATGATTGTAAAGTGTACATGGTTGTCTCGCAGGGTTTATCTGACCTTGAACTCATATTCATGGTTCATTGGTCAATATAATATTTTCATGGTTTGGTCTGTTTCTTGTATACTATAAGCAATAGGTCAACTATATTCAATGTATGGAATGATTGTAAGGTGTACATGTATTTCTCACTTGGTTTATCTGACCTTGACCTCATTTTCTTGGATCATGATAAGTTAATGTGATACTTGTAGTAAAACTTTATAGTTAGGGCTATCAATATAAAATCAATGGTGGTAAAGTAGGCGAGACATTTCAGCGTGTGCACTCTTGTTTTATGTTTTGGTATGAATGATTTCTGTTTTTTTTTTTCAATAACAAAACTCTTAAATTATGTTTTATTTGAGGGGTTAGGCACTATTTGAAATATTTTTTCCACCTAAGAAATGATACTTCTTAGAAATATTTTAAAGATTTTTTTGGCTGAATGAAATGTTTTTCTAATTTCAATAAAAAAAAGTATACCAGTTCATCTTTTTATTATTTATCTATTGGGAGTGCATCTTTTACTAACAGAAACTTAGTTGTGACTGTACATTTTACTGTAAAATTCCAGGTAGAAGATATGGGTGGAATGGCAAAGGCTGTAGCAGCAGGCATGCCTAAGCTGAGAATAGAAGAATGTGCTGCAAAAAGACAGGCTAGAATCGATAGTGGTTCAGGTAATATCTAATATAGTAGACATTTACACCAAAAGTTGTGTATGTTTTACAGTTTCTGGGGTAAAGATTGTATAAAATGCAATCGAACCATATTGTCAATGGCTGGAGAGCTATATTTTCCAGGCCTCAACTCTACCTTTGAGAGCACAGACAACATAGTACAGTGATTTGAAAATCCTTTAATAGATCCTATCCATGTACATGTTAAGCAATTTTTTAGACAAAAACTAAATTTTCAAGTTATACAATGATGCGTAAGTGTTGCTCTTGTCTCCTCCTTTAAGATATTGACTGTGAACTTTCATATCCAATTCGAAAAAATAAAGTTCTATCAAGAGAATTGCTACTTGGTAAAAACTACTCCTCTTTAAGGTTTATTTTGGAAAATAAGTTAGTTTTTATTATACAACTGCCATTAAATAATTATCCAAATAGACCACTAGTACTGCCATATGAATTTCTTTAGATGTTTCTCTTAACTGTACAAATACAAATTTATATTTATTAAACTCAGGCCAATAGAGATCAATTCAAGAAATTCAGAAAAAAAAACAGCTTTAATTTTTAATTATAAAAGAAATGGTCTTTATTAGCATTAAAAAGTATTTGTTTATGTTACAGAGGTGATTGTTGGTATAAACAAATATAAATTGGCAGAACAGGGTCAAATTGATGTTCTATGTATAGATAATACTGTGGTCAAACAAAAACAGATGGAAAGACTGACGAAAGTCAGAGAGACTAGAGATAAAAAGAAGGTATGTTTGGCAAAACATGAGACATTTTTTTAGAATCAATTTCTTAAACATAACGCTGTAACACTGACAGCAGCAGTTGCAGGCAAGACAGAGGGTTCTTGGGCACAGTTTATAAGTTTTTAAATAGAAACTGCCTTTCCAACACATCAATGTGTTGATTTGTTAATATTTATAAAACCAAATTTCCATTTCCAATCATAACATCCTGATGATGTCATAGTAAGTGTAATGGGCATTACAGTAAATTGGCAACAGTTTATAACAGTCAGTTCAGGATTCCCTACATATTTCTCTGATATAACTACATTTTCTTTATGGTCAATACTCACCACTGGCACCATGTATCATTTTTACTGCCATAATTCATAATAGTTATTCATCACCTACAAGAATGTTATGGCCTTACCCATCAAAATAATACCCCACTCTATATTGCATTCACCTTGTCTGTCTGTATATTCGTCCTTTCATCTTTTCCTCCTTCTATTTGTTCAACAAATATTTTTGTCACACTTTTCTCAGTTTCTACTCAACAGAACAACTGTTTGCCAATACTTTATATTTTTCCTGTTGAAAGAACTTAAAAAATCTTGTCACACTTTACTCCGGTACTATTGAAAAGAATGACTTCATATTTAATCAGCAGCTTGATAGTTATGAGTTGTAATGTGTGTGCTCTTTTTGAATTTGTCAAACACCCACTACCTGTTTGCCAATACTTTGAACTTTTATGCCCCACCTACGATAGTAGAGGGGTATTATGTTTTTCGGTCTGTGCATCCGTTCATTTGTCCGTCCGTTTGTCCGTCTGTTCCGCTTCAGGTAAAAGTTTTTGGTCACTTCAGGTTAAAGTTTTTGGTCAAAGTAGTTTTTGATGAAGTTGAAGTCCAATCAATTTGAAACTTAGTACACATGTTCCCTATGATATGATCTTTCTAATTTTAATTCCAAATTAGAGTTTTGACCCCAGATTCACGGTCCACTGAACCTAGAAAATGATAGTGCAAGTGGCCACATTCTTGTTCAATATGTTGAAAGAACTTAAAGTTTTTGTCACACTTTTCTTGAGTACTACTGAACAGAATTGCTTCATATTTAGTCAGCAGCTTGGCAGTGATGAGTTGCAAAGTATGAGCGCTTTTTAGATCTGTCAAACACCTAAAACCTGTTATCAGATTCTTTGAATTAAGAGTTGTATGCCTCAGGGCTTCCAAAAAATATTTGTCCCAGCCGGACATTTTTTGTCTTATCCCGATTTTGATCCCTTAAGACTATGTAACAAAAGGCAATCATGCTAATCAGTTTGGTATCATATAAACAATGAACCTAAAACGATATTAAACTGGACTTTTGATACAAATTCGCTGTACTGACGTAAACTGTTAAATTGACAGTGCATCATTCGAAGTGTGCAACATTAGCGTACTAATATCTGCCTTAGAATCTTTATTTGTGCAAAATCATCCCTGTCGAAATTATACTTTCGTTATTGAAGTTACATTTTCTCATACCGGATGTTGACTTTACAATGGTAAAACACGGACTAGAGACGGATACGAAAAATCCGTGTACATTTAAAAAGCACAATCGAGTTGAAGTAGCTCCTTCCAACGTTATTTCTTCAAGAAAATACTTGAAATGAACGTTAGATAAAAGTATCAATGATAATTTTAGTATTTTTGAAGAATTTGGATGCATAATTAAATCTCACAACTGCGCACATGCACACGCGTGTTCTTTGCTCAAACAACGTGGTCCTGACGATTTTTTCTTTATAACTAGTTTTTAACAATTTTCATCAAATCATATTTATATACATATTTTTGATTATTTAAATCTTTTTGATTAAACTAATAATATGCAAACCGCTGAAATTTATAAAAATAACTTCAAATAGACCGATCAATGTCCAGTACATATTAGTTTACCTGTTACCTGAACAGGTAAATTTCAACTGTCTGACAACTAATTAACCTTGATTGTAATGAGAGGGTATTAAAATAGGATTTGTTTTGATAGTACTTATTCACCATGTCACTTTTATGACCGGAAATGTGGCTGTTTAAGGCAAAAGGTCAGGTCAAAAAGATCGCAAAAACTTCAATTTTTTTCTGAATTATGCAAAAATGGCAAACCTACGTTAAATGTCCGTTTCAGGTTTAGCACAATAAGTCATATTTATAATTTATCGGTCATGTCCAGAAAATAAGACCGTTTTGGAAGCCCTGGTATGCTTAGCATGATAATGTGTGCAATCTTGTATAATCTGTAAGATGTCACAAATTGAAATTGTTGAAATCCTGTCAGAGCAACAATACTCTTTGTGATTACAGTAGATGAAGGCAGAAGATAATACCCCTTACTCTTTGTGATTACAGTAGATGATGGTAGGGGATAATACCCCTTTTTAGCTCACCTGGCCCTGTGGACCAAGTGATCTTTTCTCATCACTTGGCATCCGTCATCTGTTGTCTGTCGTCATTGTCTTCGTCCGTTAACTTTTACAAAAATCTTCTCCTCTGAAACCACTGGGGCAAATTTATCCAAACTTGGCCACAATCATCATTGGGGTATCTAGTTTAAAAAATGTGTCTGACGACCCAGCCTGTTGACCAACATGGCCGCCATGGCAAAAAATAGAACATAGGGGTAAAATACAGTTTTTATACGACTGCAAAAATTAAAAAATTTTTGGTTGTATATTGGTATCAAGTTGTCGTCGTCATCGTCAGCATCGTCCGAAGACAGATGGTTTACAGATAATAACTTTAGTATAAGTAAATAGAAATCAATAAAATTTTAACACAAGGTTTATAACCACTAAAGGAAGATTGGGATTGATTTTGGGGGTTATGGTCCCAACTGTTTAGGAATTAGGGGCAAACAAGGGGCCCAAATAAGCATTTTTGTAGTTTCCAGACAATAACTTGTGTTAAAGTGTTTGAATCTCTCTGAAATTATACCACAAGTTTCCATAATACAAAGGGATGGTTAGGATTGACTTTGGGGGGGGGGGGGGGGGGGGGGGGGGGGGGGGGGGTTATGGCTCAAACCATTTAGGAATTTGGGGTAAAAAAAGGGGAAAAACAAGGGTTTTTCTGGTTAAAGGACAATTGAGACAATTTAAAAGCAGTGTAAGGGAGGTAATCCAAATCAAAATCCAAATCAATTTAAATAACAATGTTTGATTACCTCCCTTACACTGCTGGTAAATTATGTATTAAGAAATGATGATTGTCTGAGATACTGACCATAACTTGAGGGAAAGAATTATTTTTTGGAATAAGGGAGAGGGGGGAGGTTAAAAAAATTGGAGGGGGACAATCTTTCTCATTTCAGATTTCAGAAATTAAAAGAAAACTTCTTCAAATATTTTTTTTTTGGGGTTAATATTCAACAGCATAGTGTATTGCACAAACGCAAAAAAATGGGGGTAAAATTTTTTTTTCGGGGGGGGCGTGGGGGGGGCGGGGATCAATTCGCATAGTGTATTGAGCAAAAGCAAAAAATTGAATATGAATTTGAATAACCAATTTGAAGTTCTTTGACTACAGTTATTCTGTGTCAGAAACCTATTATGTGTCAAAAATTTAATTACAATCCAAATTCAAACCTGTATCAAGCATGAATATTGTGTCCATTTTGGCCCCAACTTTTCAGGGTTGGACATCCGCGTGTATACAGCTGTGCTCAGCAAAGCAATTTTTGATTTATATATAAAAGCAAATAATAATGATATGGTTTGATTTCATCAAAAATTGAAATATTGGGGTTCTTTGATATGCTGAATCTTACCGTGTATTTAGATTCTTAATTTTTGGTCCCGTTTTCAAATTGGTCTACATTAAGGTCCAAAGGGTCCAAAATTAAACTTAATTTGTTTTTAACAAAAATTGAATTCTTGGGGTTCTTTGATATGCTGAATCTAACCGTGTATGTATTTAGATTTTGGATATTGGACCATAATAGGTAAATTAAAATTTTTTTATGTTCTTAGACCATATTCATTCTGTGTCAGAAACCTATACTGTGTCAAATATTTAATCACAATCCAAATTCAGAGCTGTATCAAGCTTGAATGTTGTGTCCATACTTGCCCAAACTGTTCAGAATTCGACCTCTGCGGTCGTATCAAGCTGCGCCCAGCGGAGCATTTTATTGTCTTATACCTCTGAAATTAAAGCATTTAGAGTAAATTTGACATGGGGGTGAAAATGTTCATCAGGTTTAGATCTATCTGCCCTGAAATTTTCAGATGAATCAGATAACCCATTGTTGGGTTGATGCCCCTGAATTAGTAACTTTAAGGATATTTTGCAGTGTTTGGTTATTATCTGGAATATTATTATAGATAGAGATAAACTGTAAGCAGCAATAATGTTCAGCAAAGTACAATCTACATATAAGTCAGCATGACCAAAATTGTCAGTTGACCTCTTAAGGAGTTATTGCCCTTTATAGTCAATTTTTAACAATTTTTCGTTAAGTTTTGTAATCTTTTACAAAAATCTTCACCTCTGAAATGAATGAGACAAATTTAACCAAACTTGGCCCCATCATCATTAGGGTATCTTGTTTAAAAAATGTGTCCAATGACCTCGCCTGCCAACCAAAATGGCGGACATGGCTAAAAATAGAACATAGGGGTAAAATGCAGTTTTTGGCTTATATCTCTGAAACTAAAGCATTTAGAGCAATTCTGACAATGGCTAAAAATGTTCATTAGGCTAAGATCTATCTGCCCTGATATTTTTAGATGAATCAGACAACACGTTGTTGGGTTGCTGCCCCTGAATTGGTAATTTTAAGGAAATTTTGCAGTTTTTTTTTATGACGTTGGCGTCGTCGACGTCGTCCGAAGACACATTGTTTTTCGCACAATAACTTTAGTTTAAGTGAATGGATCTCTATGAAATTTTACCATAAGGTTCAATACCAAAAAAAAAGGAAGGTTGGGATTGATATTGGGGGTTATGGTACCAACAGTTGAATAAGGGCCAAAAAGGGGCCAAAAATAAGCATTTTTGTAACTTCCAGACAACAACTTGTGTGTTAGTGTATGGATCTCTTTGACATTGTACCATATATCAAAGGGAAGGCTGGGATTGATTTTGGGGGTAATTGCCTCAAAATTTTAGGAATTAGGGGCCAAAAAAGGGGGAAAAAAACAAGCATTTTTCTAGTTTCATGACAATAACTTGTGTGTAAGTGTATGGATCTTTCTGAAATTGTACTACAAGGTTCCATATCACAAAGGGAAAGCTGGAATTGAGTTTTGGGGTAATTGCCTAAAACGTTTAGGAATAAGGGGCCAAAAATAAGCATTTTTCTAGTTTCCAGACAACTTGTGTTCAAGTGTATGGATCTCTCTGAAATTGTACTGCAAGGTACTGTCACCGGGGGCCAGTGCACGTCAAGAATGGGGGACTATCGAACATGCACCAATTCATGAGACTGGAGGTCAGTCTTTCGCAAGACTTAAGCGATGGCAGGCATAACTATAAAGCAAGCAGCAAAGTTTAACAGTTTTATATAATAACAGATCTAAATGATGATAATAATTCCAAAACAATAACAAATAATTAAAATCCAAATGTTCTAAATTATAAAGTCATAAATCCAAAATCACAGTTGAAAGTTCTAAATGTCCAAAGTTAAAGTACAATTCAAATATTTCCACTAAATGTTTCGTTATCACTATTATTGAAGTCCAGAGATTGGTTGATATTCCCCTGGATGGCTTTGGTAGCACTCCTTTTTTTTTTTTTTTTTAAATGAGCACTCAGACTGAAGGGTTTGGAAATTAATTTTAACACGATAATCACAATATGACTTAAGTTATAATTAAAAGGGTAGCACTCCTTACTGGATTACACGAATGAGACTGACGACTTACTGTTTGACTGCGATATTTATGGCGAATGCTGAAAACTACTCAGAAAATGACAGACATTGAGAATATAATATGAGCATAATAAATTTGTTAAAATATCAACAGGTGAAATATGAGTAGTGTCAATTTGAATTTACTAATGACAGATAAAATGACTTATACTAATAAAACTAATTGAAAACAGAATATAGCTCAGACTAATTATGACAAATGACAAGATACAATAAGTGCTCAAAACAATCAGTACATTGAGAATATAATATGAGCATAATAAATTTGTTAAAATATCAGCAGGTGAAATATGAGTAGTATCAATTTGAATTTACTAATGACAGATAAAATGACTTATACTAATGAAACTAATTAAAAACAGAATATAGCTCAGACTAATTATGACAAATGACAAGATACAATAAGTGCTCAAAACAATCAGTAACGAGTGACATATTTACAAAATTTACCTGAGATTAATAATTAAAGTTTAACTAAAATTTGTTCTACAATAAATTTTTCTGAAATAAAAATATTCATATATTTTTCTAAAATATGAACTTAAAAAACTTTTACACAAAAGTACACCTATGATAGTACCATACCACAAAGGGAAGGCTGGGATTGATTTTGGGGGTAATTGCCTCAAAATTTTAGGAATTAGGGGCCAAAAAGAGCTAAAAAACAAGCATTTTTCTAGTTTTAGGACAATGACTTGTGTGTAAGTGTATGGATCTTTTGAAATTGTACTACAAGGTTCCATATCACAAAGGGAAAGCTGGAATTGAGTTTGGGGATAATTGCCCTAAACGTTAAGAATTTGGGGCCAACAAGGGGCCAAAAAACAAGCATTTTTACAGTTTCCAGACAATAACTTGTGTTCAAGTGTATGGATCTCTCTGAAATTGTACTGCAAGGTACCATACCACAAAGGGAAGGCTGGGATTGAGTTTGGGGGTGATGAATCATAAGGGAGTTCAAAAAATTGGGGGGGGGGGGGGGGATTTTTTTTTCCTATTTTAGCTCACCTGCCCCGAAGGGCCAAGTGAGGTTTTCTCATCACTTGGCGTCTGTCGTCCGTCCTCCGTCGTCGTCGTTGTTAGCTTTTACAAAAATCTTCTCCTCTGATACCACTGGGCCAAATTTAACCAAACTTGGCCACAATCACCATTAGGGTATCTAGTTTAAAAAATGTGTCCGATGACCCCGCCAGCCAACCAACATGGCCGACATGGCTAAAAATAGAATATAGGGGTAAAATGCAGTTTTTGGCTTATATCTCTGAAACTAAAGCAAAAATATAATGGTTGCATTACTTCATGCATCAATTGTAAGCAAAAATATCAGGTGAGCGACACAGGCTCTTAGGAGCCTCTAGTTAATAATGTATAGTTCTTGGCTGCTCGCTATTTGTTAAGTCTGTTTTACAAAAATGTTCTTTTATATAGAATTTTGGATTCAGTATAAAAATTAGAAACCATTCTTATCATTTAGGCAGAAGAGAGTTTAGAAGCCATTACCAAATGTTGTGAGTCAGGTGATGGGAACTTGTTAGCACTCAGTATAGATGCTGCAAGGGCAAGATGTACAGTAGGCGAAATAACAGATGCCATGGAAAAGGTAGGCAGATAGATTACAAATGTAATATCTTACTTTGGAAACCTGAAGTGGTGACTCTAATTGAAAAAAATCCAAAATATTCTATCACATTTGAACCATTAACATGTAAATCAAACAAAACTAAAATAAATGGAGAATGTGTCCATGGGACACAGATGATGCCCCCGCTTGCATATAACGTTATAAAGGGACATAACTCAAGAACGGTAAATGTGATGCCACCCAAATTTGAACTTAATCTGAGATTGTGGTAATAAGCATTGTGTATATGTTTCATAACATTTGGTTGAGGCAAACTTAAGTTAGAGAAGGGAAATGAAAATTCAGCAATGTTTCCATTTGTAAAGGAATATAGCTCTAGAACATTAAAAGTGACGTCACCCAAATTCAAACGTGAACTGTGTTTTGTGGTAATAAGTATTGTGTATAAGTTTTATAACATTTGGTTGAGGCAAAACTTGGTTAGAGAATGGAAACCAATTTTGGGACATACAGAAGTACAGATGGACAAGGGTAAAACTTAATGCCCCCTCCGCCTCGATGGGGCATGAAAAGATGTGGAAAACATGAGCAAATCTGAAATTCCAAAAGTTTTGAAGAATATATTGAAATAATGAATATCAGTGAAATAGAAACCTTATAATATTATAGCATTATGATAAAAAAACCTGAAACATCAGCAAGTCTCAATATAACATTCGTCAAGATGCAGACAATATTACAATATAAGATGCTTATGATGCCATGCTTCCTCAATTGATTAAAAACATAGATTCAATACCTGTCTTAGACAAAGGAAATATATATTTATAAGGATTTAATGTCATTAACACTGAGAAATAATTGTTAATTTCATGTTTTATACTTATTTCAGACGTATGATGATAAAAAAAAAAACATGTTATATATCATAAATAATGAACTTTTGGTTTACTACTTAGCCACATAATTAAAAAAAATCAAGGGGTATGAGAAATTGCATGTACCTAAATATTCTGTTTTCTGTAAGTCAAAGAATATTGTTGAATAAAACATTAATTTTTCTTGCTGAAGCGAGATAGGAAGATTTTTATTCCTTGAAAAGTCATATTTTACAGAAAATGATTCCCTTGGGAGATATGAAATGTATATTCTGCATTGTCTGACACCAGAAGAAGTGAACAAATTTAAATCTAGATTTCTTTTTCCATTTATATTATAAGTTTATAATTATTTCATTTGGTCATATTTTGTTTACTAGTATTTTAATTTAATGCTTACCTTCAATGAAATGCTTTTGGTAATCCTGTTTAAGGTGGATCATCACTTTATATTTCCTCAGATAGAAATTGTATACTTTGCCAAAATGTAGAATGTAGCATGCTTTTTTCAAAGATATGATAAACAATATGGGTCACCGTGCTATTTTTCAAAATACAATTCGTGTAAAATTTCTTAATTTTGCATAAATTATTCATGCTAAAATACTCTTTTGTGAATAAAAAGAAACCTACATGAGATAGAATTTTGAAATAAAATATGAGAAGATAGGTTTTATAATATGCTTCAAATTTATTTGTTCAGTGTATGTTCACTTGTGTTAATATGTCTTTTGATTGAGTTAAGCCATTTCAATTGATATTTTATAGTGTGTCTTTCTATGTTGTGATGTTACACTATTGTTTCAGATAAGGGTGAAGGTTTGGTACCATTAAAACGTTTAAACCCGTTGCAGTTGTTTGCACCTGTCCTAAGTCAGGAATCTGATGTTCAGTAGTTGTCTATTGTTGATGTGGTTCATAAATGTTTCTCATTTCTTGTTTTTGTCAAGCCTGCGAGTTTTGTCGCAAAAGTGAGACATAGCGATCCTACATTCCGTCGGCGTCGTCGTCATCGGCGGCGTCCCCAAAATTCACTCTGTGGTTAAAGTTTTTCAAATTTTAATAACTTTCTTAAACTATCCTGCATTTCATCGAAACTTGGACAGAAGCTTGTTTATGATCAAAAGCTAGTATCTAGAAGGAAATTTTGTAAAAATTTATTTCCTGTTTTTCCGTATATTACTTATAAATGGACTTAATTAGTTTTATTCCAGTTAATATTACTTACAGTCTGCAGTTTTTAAAACATTTATTAGATTCATAAACCTTCTTTGAATTTTACCAAACTTGAACAGAACTTCTAACAATCAAAAGATAGTATCTAGAGGAAAATTTTTAATAATTTTTTCCCCATTTTTGTTGAGCCTGGAACTAACAGCAAAGTAGGCGAGACACTGGAACCCTTACTAATTTTTTACATAGATGAGACCGTTGGTTTTCCCATTTGAATGGTTTTACACTAGTAATTTTTGGGCCCTTTGTAGCTTGCTGTTCAGTGTGAGCCAAGTCTCCGTGTTGAAGACCGTACTTTTACCTATAATGGTTTACTTTTATAGATTTTGACTTGGATGGAGAGTTGTCTCATTGGCACTCATACCACATCTTCTTACATCTGTTTAAGAAAATAAAAAAAAAAAAGATGTCACAGAAATTGTTTACTTGCTGCAAGTTAAAAATAAAAATTTATAAAATTTTGTGTTTTTTAAATTAAAATGTAAGTAAATGCAGACCAAATAAAACATTCATGTGCTTTCAGTAATCCAACCGACCTTAATTTTTGTGCAAATTCTTATATTGATCAATGAACAGGTTGGTTATCTTGGTAGTAAAGTCTTGTATGTAGACTAAATATGGTAATATCCAAAACACAAAACATTAAGAAGAAAATAGGAAGAATGTATTTACAATATTTTGTATGAATTTTAAATGATTAAATTTTTGAGATATTGCCTTGAATGTCAATGAATCAGCAACCTAATGACAAAATTAACCAAAAGACATCAAGAGGCTTATATACAGTCTTCAACAAAAAAACATGCGTCTACACAATATAACACACTCCAAAGCTTCTCAACGGAATAATGACTTGATTATATAAGATTCTTAAGAAAGCATTAGTAACAGGGCTTTATGGTTTGAATATACCGGTATTTATATTATAATCTAGCTAACTTTGTAAAATAATTTTTTATGGTAAGAGTTATGCTTCTTTACATTTAGATTGAAGAATAATTTTTCTTTAATTCTTACCTGATTTATCCTTTCCCTGACCTGTTGATTATTTTTATTTAATCAACATGTGGTTTGTTTGATCTCAGTTTGTCATTGGTCAAAATTAGATTATAACGTCAAATTTTCTTGCTTTTCTCAGAAATTCCTATTGTGACGTCACGAAAAAAAGTGATCATGCCTGATGACGTCACATAGAAATAACACATTTTTTTTGCAGATCATTTGAAGAGAAGGATTATGATTGTCTCTATATTGTCTAAAAATCATTAGAGAAACAGATTCCACCACCAAATCTCGTGCAATATGATATCTATCCACTTTCAACAGTCAAATGAAACCTGCCAGACTGACATGTACGGCGAGCCTCGCATTTTAAATTTGAAAATTTAACTGTCTCGAGTGTTTAAATGTTGTATCATACTCCATGCAGTGGTAGAATCTCTCAAAAATTAATTCGCATGTATCACTTGTAAAATATTATTTAAATATTCATTACAATGTAAATTTTTGTTCATAGTAAAATCAAAACTAGCTGTTATTTGTAAGAAAAATATTAGAATTTCAATATCAAATAATATGTCATGGTTTGCCACAGAGGTTAACTATAATATAGCCTGCCTATATCATGTAAAATAGTTGTCTTGTCAGTAGCTAATATGGACTATTCATAGATAAGCTACTGTAATTCATCAGATAATAACATCAGTAAAATTTTTGACATCTCTGAAGAATTCACTCCATTCATTTTTGTCAGTACCAATTTATGTGGAATGAGGAAAAATTTCTGTTTGCATGGATACTTGATTTTGTGGTTTTTACAAAGTTTGCTTACAAATCTCCAAAGAATTTGTAATTTGTTGAACACATCTTAAATTCCTTGTTAATCTCATGAAATGTTTTACTGCAATGGCCATGAATAATAATTTATTTGTCATGTTTTTCATTTAATGTTCAAATTTTATTGTAGATATTTGGAAGGCATGTAGCTAGTGACAGAATGGTCAGTGGTGCTTATAAAACTGAGTATGGCGATACTGATGATATCTCTAAAGTTATTAGAAGGGTTGAGGTAAGTTTTTAATGCTTGGTCCTCATATCTATGTGTTACCAATTTTTTTTCTCTGGAGTTTACTGAAGATTGTAGGTGGTAATTCTTTTGATTTCTAAAGTTAAACAATTGATGGCGATTAAATTATAAATGAATTTATCCAGAATTGGTTTTGATTTATCTTGATTATACATTCTTACAAATTCATTATCTGAACACTTCATACTGGTTTCTCCAAAATATACACACACTAATATAGGCATATATACTTTATATTATTTTGAAATTCATTACTTTATCTGCAATGGATGAGTGTTAAACATTATTATTATATACTTAGTAGTAAAGACGGGTGAATTGTATGTAGTAAATATGGGTAAATTGTATGTGTAATATGATCAATGGCAATCGTGTTGTACTAGCCATCCGTGATGACATATCCATAGCAGTCACGATAACAAAGGCTTTATCACACCCTGTAACTGGATGACGTCACCTCATCAATATCCCTCACGGTGGCAAAGGCTCCATTAAACCCCTAATCTGTATGAAGTCATGTCATGTGGTATAACATCTGCTTGAGGTATATAATAAAGTGTATATGATATGTTTTTTTTAATATCACACACCGTGTCAATCCTCAACCAATATAATCCAGTACAGAGGATCTAAACATAAAAGTGTTTTATGGAACATACGTTGATTATCAGTGATAAATGCACAATAATATTGAACATCAAGCTATAACATTTCTTGGTTAATACTGTAAATTCAGAAATTATAGAAGAATTAACAAAAAAGCGAGTTTAATTATTGCAATTTTAGGAAAGCTACATACAGATATATGTATTTGATATCAGAATGCGAGTTTTTATTATTGCGATACTCAAGTAGTCGCATTATTTGCATTAATAAAAACCTCGCAATAATTTCTAAATTTACAGTAGCTAATTTTCTTATCAAGCCTAAGTTTTACCATCATCTGAGTGATCATAGAATTGGCTTAAATTTCAAAAAATGTTATTTGAGAAACAGCAGTTCCAAAATTTATAGAAAAAAAAGAAGACTTTACAAAAACTGCTTGGACCATTGTATGGACACTAAAAAAAATTTCAAGTCTGTGTAACTCTTCAACTTGTAACACTTTTTGATAATAATGAAAATATGTAAAACTTAACATCATAAAGGAGGCATTTCTCATCATTTTATAAGATAACATATTGAGATATATAATAATTGACAAGATAATAAAAGTATTGAAGATCTATACAAGTTTAGGACTAAGGTGACGTCATTAATAAATTGATCTCTGTTTATGCTTGAGAATTGGTGTTAAGTTTATAATGGTTAAGATGTAGAAAAAATCATTACAACTGTGGATAGTCATAACTATGATAATAATCTGTGTTGAAACGTAACAAGGATACCTGATCTATTTTATTAAAATTGTTAACAACATTTAACATTATTTATAAAATATTGGTGAAGTTATGACATGTATGATGGATATTAAGCAAACAATAATCAAATCAATCAATATTTAATTATCATTTTTCTTTACTCATAGAAAATGTTGTGGTGTAAACATTGATATTTGTCAATACAATGTACCTTCTGTCATGACTAATCTATTATTTACTTAATGTATGCTCTGTGAAGTTATTGTTCCAAGAAAGATGCACCATTGTTTAGTTTAAATGATTTTTAGAATTGTGAAGTACTTTAAATTGTGAGAACCTGTGGTCTGATATTGAATGAATCTTTGAATACTTTTGTGGGTATTTGTATGTCTGTCTCTTATCTCATCAGTCTACGTGATTAAGTGGACTATTTTAGTCTCTGAAAACAGTTGTGATTTTATGGAAATAAATTAAATCAGTTTGTATCTGGGGAATTTTTAACAGGAAATATAAAACAAGTGTTCCATTTACACCCACAAACTTTTCTTATAGTCACAGCTACAGCGTAACCAAGAGAATTTTTAAGAATTAAAATTTATGTAATCCAATTTTCTAGAATTGATTTCATTTGTTGTTTAGAATGTTTGACTGATGAGAAGTCATTTAGAGCAAACCAGGAAAAAATTCAATTAAAATATGCAAGTTTTAAATAATTTTTTAAAGGATTGGTTACAAAAGTGTGAGAAACTGTATAAAAGGTGTCAGACCACCAACTACTCCCTCCAATTTAGAATGTATGTAAAAGTAGGCCTACTCGGACAAAAAATAGTGCATTTGATGTCATTGTTTACTGAAACTAACCAACAAATTTGCAGAAATGAAACTTTTGGTAAAAGAGAAATATATTAAGACCATTTTGAGCCAAAATTTACTTGCCTATGAGTTTGCATTAAACATTGAGGATTAATGCGCTCCATTGTATAGCAATTTAAGATTTCCAGAAAACCAGGGGTTATTAGCTCACCTGGCCCAAAGGGCCAAGTGAGCTTTTCTCATCACTTGGCGTCCGTCGTCCGTCGTCGTCGTTAGCTTTTTACAAAAATCTTCTCCTCTGAAACCACTGGGCCAAATTTAACCAAACTTGGCCACAATCATCATTAGGGTATCTAGTTTAAAAAATGTGTCCGATGACCCCGCCAACCAACCAAGATGGTCGCCATGGCTAAAAATAGAACATAGGGGTAAAATGTAGATTTTGGCTTATATCTCTGAAACCAAAGCATTTAGAGTAAATCTGACATAGGGTAAAACTGATTATCAGGTCAAGATCTATCTGCCCTGAAATTTTCAGACAAATCTGACAACCTGTTGTTGGGTTGCTGCCCCTGAATTGGTAATTTTAAGGAAATTTTGCAGTTTTTGGTTATTATCTTGAATATTATTATAGATAGAGATAAACTGTAAAGAGCAATAATGTTCAGCAAAGTAAGATCTACAAATAAGTTGTCATGAACAAAATTGTCGGTCGACCCCTTTAGGAGTTATTGCCCTTAATAGTCAATTTTTAACAATTTTTTGTAAATTTTTGTAATCTTTTACAAAAATCTTCTTCTCTGAAACTACTGAGACAAATTTAACCATACTTGGCCATAATCATTATAAGGGTAACTAGTTTAAAAAATTTGTCTGATGACCCCGCCTTCCAACCATCATGGCCGACTTGGTTAAATATAGAACATAGGGGTAAAATGCAGTTTTTGGTTTATATCTCTGAAACTAAAGCATTTAGAGCAAATCTGACAGGTGGCAAAAATATTCATCAGATTTAGATTTATCTGCCCTGAAATTTTCAGACGAATGCAACAACCCGTTGTTGGGTTGCTGCCCCTGAGTTAGTAATTTTACAAAAATTTTGCAGTTTTTTGTTATTATCTTAGATATCATTATAATATCTAATATCTAATACTATTAATTATGATTTTAACCTTATTTTACATGATTTCCAAAGCATCAGTAAATACAGGTGAGCGACACAGGCTCTTGAGAGCCTCTAGTTTTTAGTAGTACCTCAGTTTGGGAGGTCTCTTCTTTCTTATTAGATTTTAAAAGTTTACACTAGTAATTTTTTGGGGCCCTTTATAGCTTACTGTTCGGTGTGAGCCAAGGCTCCGTGTTGAAGACCGTACTGTGACCTATAATGGTTTACTTTTATAAATTTTTACTTGGATGGAGAGTTGTCTCATTGGCACTCATACCACATCTTCTTATATCTATATGTTGAAAATTGGCATGTAGAAAGGTGATACCTCTACAATTCAGGATAAACCTGGTTTCTATGAAGTTAAACTTAAGGTAAAATATTTAGAAAGCTATGAAAATTGCAAAATTTGGTTGAACAGATAGGGATTTTTAATTGGTGGTCTGACACCTAAACTTGAGAAATTAATGTCTACATTTCATGTATAAATCTTCCAAAGTTAATGGAAGTGTTTGATTTATTTATGCCACTTGTATTGATATTCAATTTAAATATGCATGAGTAAAATGAAAATGTGAGTTTTTATACGACCGCAAAAAAATTTTGCGGTCGTATATTGGTATGACGTTGGCGTCGTCTTCGTCGTCGTCGTCCGAAGACACATTGGTTTTCGCACTCTAATTTTAGTTTAAGTGAATGGATCTCTATGAAATTTTACCATAAGGTTCAATACCACAAAAGGAAGGTTGGGATTGATTTTGGGGGTTATGGTACCAACAGTTAAGGAATTAGGGGCCAAAAAAGGGCCAAAAATAAGCATTTTTGTAACTTCCAGACATAACTTGTGTGTTAGTGTATGGATCTCTCTGACATTGTACCACAAGGTTCCATATCACAAAGGGAATGCTGGGATTGATTTACGGGGTAATTGCCTCAAAATTTTAGGAATAAGGGGCCAAAAAAGGGGCAAAAAACAAGCATTTTTCTAGTTTCATGACAATAACTTGTGTGTAAGTGTATGGATCTTTCTGAAATTGTACTACAAGGTTCCATATCACAAAGGAAAAGCTGGAATTGAGTTTGGGGGTAATAACCCAAAATGTTTAGAAATAAGGGGCAAAAAATTGGCCAAAAATAAGCATTTTTCTAGTTTCCAGACAATAACTTGTGTTCAAGTGTATGGATCTCTCTGAAATTGTACTGCAAGGTACCATACTACAAAGGGAAGGCTGGGATTGATTTTGGGGGTAATTGCCTCAAAATTTTAGGAATTAGGGGCAAAAAACAAGCATTTTTCTAGTTTCAGGACAATAACTTGTGTGTAAGTGTATGGATCTTTATAAAATTGTACTACAAGGTTCCATGTCACAAGGGGAAAGCTGGGTTTGAGTTTGGGGGTAATTGCCCTAAACGTTTAGGAATTTGGGGCCAAAAAGGGGCCAAAAAACAAGCATTTTTCTAGTTTTCAGACAATAACTTGTGTTCAAGTGTATGGATCTCTCTGAAATTGTACTGCAAGGTACCATACCACAAAGGAAAGGCTGGGATTGAGTTTGTGGTGATGAATCATAAGGGGGTTCAAAAAATTGGGGAGGGGGATTTTTTTTTCTTTTTTTTTTCAATCCATTTTGAATTGGTTATTTCTGATTTATATATAAATGCAAATAATAATGATATGGTTTGAATAGGTAAATTAAAAATTTTTAAGTCATTCTGTGTCAGAAACCTATGCTTTGTCAAATATTTAATCACAATCCAAATTCAGTGCTGTATCAAGCTTGAATGTTGTGTCCATACTTGCCCCAACTGTTCAGGGTTCGACCTCTGCGGTCGTATCAAGCTGCGCCCAGCGGAGCATTTTATTGATTATTTGATCATTTTGCATTATTATACCCCCGCTTTTACCTCTGTCTGCCTGTCTGTCCATCCATCAGTCCTTCTGTCCGTCAGTCAGTCCGTTCGACCCATGAATATTTTTCGTCGCATCTTTCTCAGGAACTACATTACAAGGATTTCTGAAATTTAGTTTCAGGGTTTATATAAATCAGCTATACCGTGTGATGCGTTTTCAGATTCATCACTCAACAACTTCCTGTTTACCGAACACTTACATATTTTTACACTATTAAAATTATCCACTTGTGGCGGGGGTATCATCAGTGAGCAGTAGCTCGCAGTTTCACTTGTTGAAATAGCATTAATTTCTAAATTTATAACAATATAAGTATTGTAAAATAATTTTTTTCTTACATTAGAAATAAAGAAAATCCTCATTTACATATATGTAACAGGAAAGTTTTGTTAAAATGAATTAACAAGATCAGTTATTGACTTGTATACTAGCTGTGCATCCTTAATGAATTTAAGTTTAAATATGTAAACATCTGAAATAATGCTTTATCAGGTGATACTAATGAAGATGTCTGCATGGTTCTTGAGTACATGTGTATGTTAGTGATGTGACATAAATTTAAGAAATAATTCATGGAAGCCATAGATTTGTTGGAAATTTACACATGGCCTGGGTCGTGATATTCGAATTTTATCCTGAGCGTTAGCGAGGGATAAAATTAACGAATATCACGGCCCAGGCCATGTGTAAATTTACAACAAATCTATGGCTTCCTTGAATTATTTCGATTCTAATAGGACAAATACTGTCATTAAAAAACTGAAGCGAGGGTGGGTATGCCGTGTGTGTTGCTGTTCTATTTTACCCACTGTTAGATAAATGTAAAAAAAATCTAATAAATCTGTAGCTTGCATAAATTATTTCTTAAATAACCACTAGAAAAAATGTGATTGATTCTTTTAATTCTCAAACCCAACATTTGCCATTTTTAATTTACATTTTTTTCTCAAAAGCTACCGTCAAATTCACTGTTGACATTTTGTAACCAAAGAGCCGCCATGTTGACTTGCTGAAATTAGTAAATGTGCGAATAATGCAATAGAATAGAAAAAAAGTAACACCTACCTCAAAATTTTATTTTAATGCAATATTATCCGAGTTTAGAAGGTAAATGCAATGGAAAACCCTTCAGCATTGTCGTTTTTATTCATATGACGTCATGTTTTGAAATGACATTAATGCGCAAAAAACATTCATGGAATTTCGCAGAATTTTAATTTATTTTGATTTTGTACATTTTTTCCATCTCTAATGCATTAGTTCTTTTTGTTATGCCTCAGAATAAGAATAAAGGTTCTGTAGGGTTTTTTTAATTGTAATTTTTAACACAGCGAAATCGACATAGCGTTTGCACATAGGTTACGATTCATGTGGACTTACGTGGGAGGTATATTTTAAAGCCATTATTATGTACATCTCGGAGTCTGCGCTAAGTATAGATATATCGAGAATTTTATCACGGTGTTGTTTACAAAGCGAAAGAAGCACGTCATATTAGAATAATCACTAACATACACATGTAATCAAGAGCCATGTATAAATCTTCATTATGGATATCTGGTTTATGTCACATCACTAACATACACATGTACTCGAGAACCATGCATAAATCTTCATTATGGATATCTGGTTTATGTGACATCACTAACATGCACATGTACTCAAGAACCATGCATAAATCTTCATTATGGATATCTGGTTTAAGTTACATCACTAACATACACATGTACTCAAGAACCATGCATAGATCTTAACTATGGATATCTGGATTATGTCACATCACTAACATACACATGTACTCAAGAACCATGCATAATTCTTCATTATTGATATCTGGTTTATGTCACATCACTAACATGTACATGTACTCAAGAACCATGCATTGATCTTCATTATGGATATCTGGTTTATGTGACATCACTAACATGCACATGTACACTAGAACCATGCATAAATCTTCATTATGGATATCTGGATTAATGTCACATCACTAACATACACATGTTCTCAAGAACCATGCATAAATCTTCATTATGGATATCTGGTTTATGTCACATCACTAACATGCACATGTACTCAAGAACCATGCATAAATCTTCATTATGGAATATGGTTTAAGTTACATCACTAACATACACATGTACTCAAGAACCATGCATAAATCTTCATTATGGATATCTGGTTTATGTTACATCACTAACATACACATGTACTCAAGAACCATGCATAAATCTTCATTATGGATATCTGGTTTATGTTACATCACTAACATACACATGTACTCAAGAACCATGCATAAATCTTCATTATGGATATCTTTATTATGTAAAGTTACTGTCTACCTAAGTAACTGTCTGCCTGAAGGTTCTGCTTGCATGAAGTTTCATCTGCCAGAAGTTATTGTCTGCCTAAAGTTACTGACTGCTTGAAGTTACTGCCTGCCAGATTTAACTGTCTGACAAAAGTTACTGACTGTCTGAAGATGTCTGCCTGAAGTTATTGTCTACCTAAAGTTACTTCTGCCTGAAGTTAGTGCCTGCCAGAATTTACTGTCGTTTGAAGTTACTATCTGCCAGAAGTTACTGTCTATCAGAAGTTACTGTTTACCAGAAGTTACTGTCTGCCAGATGTTACTGCCTGCTTGAAGTTACAATCTGCCTGAAGCTGTCTGCTTGAAGTTACTGTCTGCAAGAAGTTAATGCCTGCCATATGTAACTGTCTGCCAAAGCTTATAGTCTGTCACAAATTACTGTCTGTCTGAAGTTGTCTGCCTGAAGTTATTGTCTGTCAAAGTTAATGACTGCCTTAAGTTACTGTCTGCCTGAAGTTACTGTCTACCTAAATTACTGTCTGCCTGAAGTTACTGCCTGCCAGAATTTACTGCCTGCTTGAAGTTACTATCTGCCAGAAATTACTATCTGTCTGAAGTTACTGTCTGTCTGAAGTTACTGTCTACCAGAAGTTTCTGTTTACCAGAAGTTACTGTCTGCCAGAAGTTACTGTTTACCAGAAGTTACTGTCTGCCAGACATTACTGCCTGCTTGAAGTTACTATCTGTCTGAAGTTACTGTCTGTCTGAAGTTACTGTCTACCAGAAGAAACTGTTTATCAGAAGTTACTGTCTGATAGACGTTACTGCCTGCTTGAAATTACTATCTTTCTGAAGTTACTGTCTGTATGAAGTTACTGTCTGTATGAAGTTACTGTCTACCAGAAGTTACTGTTTACCAGACGTTACTACCTGCTTAAAGTTACTATCTGCCAGAAGTTACGATCAGCCAGAAGATGTCTGCTTGAAGTTACTGTCTGCCAGAAGTTATTGTCTGCCTAAAGTTACTGACTGCTTGAAGTTACTGCCTGCCAGATTTAACTGTCTGACAAAAGTTACTGTCTGTCTGAAGTTGTCTGCCTGAAGTTACTGTCTGCTTAAAGTTACATACTGCCATTATATCTTTTTTTTTCCATATAATTTTTCATCTTCTTGAAATAATGTTTTTCATCAATTTTATAACAAAAAGAATCATATCTAGTTAGATTGATTGATTGTTGGTGTTTTAACGCCACTTTTAAGTGCCACTTTTGGGCTATTTTTTGGCGGCCAGTTTTTATTGGTGGAGGAAGCCAGAGTGCCTGGAGAAAACCACCAACCTTCGATAGGAAAACTGACAATCCTAGTCAATTAAGATTGGAGTCGAGTGCACCTGCACGAGCGGGGTTCGAACTCACAACCTCAGTGTTGACTGGCTAGTGATTACAGCAGTAGAACTACTTAGACCACTTGGCCACCGAGGCCCCATATCTAGTTAGAATACATGCCAGCAATCATTATCACAGGTATGATAGAACAGAAAGGGGAATCTTACAAAAACTTATTTTACTTTTTCACCATCTATGAGTGATAGTTACTCAGGTGACTCTCATTACATTAATACAAGTCACTCTGGAGTGTGAAAAAAAATTACTGAAATGTCACAGCTTTGTAAAATTACCACTAAAGAAAAACTTATTCTTTCAGCAATTTGCAGAAAATGAAGGAAGACGACCCAGAATATTGGTGGCTAAGGTTGGACAGGATGGACATGACAGAGGTGGAAAGGTCATAGCCACAGGGTTTGCTGACCTTGGTTTTGATGTTGATATTGGGCCATTATTCGCTGTAAGTTATTAATAATACTCCATCTGTTGCCTTAATACTGTCAGATTTAGCATGTGTTTGAGTAATTAATATTAACATCATCTTTATTGAAGAATATAATTTATGAAGTGGGAGTAGTACATAAATTCCAAATGAAAATTAATCACCATAAAAGCTATTAAAATTCATTTGATGTTAAAATTAACATGCAAATCTCTCATTTACTATGGAAATTGAACATTAAATTTGAAAAATGGTTCCCACATGATAAATTTCAAAGTAAATTTCTTATAGCAGTACATTGAATAAAGTAAAAGCATTAAACCAGATTAAGTTCACATTTCTTTGTTGACATTACCGGTTGTATTTTGTTCAGAATTTGCTTGATATTAAGTAATAATCATTTTCTTGCTGTATAGAATTGGGAGAGGGGAGTCTCAGGGGACATAGAGTTTCACATATTCATTAGTTTATTCATGTGTTTGTCCATTTAATTATCTGTCATCATAATGGTTTGTAATAAGGTCCATAACTAATCAACAACAAGTAAAAGAGGAATGATATTTTTGTCAGTAGGCTCATCAGAATGTTAGCAGAAAAAATGGTCACCTTAATCTACATTTTATGGAATTTTATTTGGTCATTTTATTTAACAGAAGTATGAAAAAATTCTATTGATTTTGATTTAGTGTCTTGAACAAACTTAGAAATGAAAGAAGGATGGAATGAAATTTTTTTACCTTAATATTCTAATATATTGATGGCCTGATTTCCAAATCAGTTGGAATACTAATGTGTCTGAGAAAGAAATTTTGATTTTAAATGTCAAATACTTATGTTATAGTAAATAAGCGTAATAAGGGATTACCAGTAATCCCAGGTTCATTCAGGGATTAAGTGCAATTCCTAGTAATTTTGATGATTTTATGTAATCTCTAAAATTCCAGTTATAACATGTAATTAGTGATCTCCCCAGGCCATTTTAGCGTCGCTGCACCGCAACACTATAATTTTTTCTTGTGACGCTTTAATAATTTCCGCGATTCTATAATTATTTTGAGAATGTATTTTTTCTTATCTCTAGTCTGCAAAACGATGTCCTAATTTTTGAACTTTCATCTAATTACCGCTTGTGATCATAAAATTATATCACCTTTAATTATAATCCCTTCAAGTTGGCAATTAAGAGTGATTTTGACATCGCGAAAATGTAATCAGAAAATCATAAATAATTCGAAATCTAAGTTTGCATCATGGCATAGCCGTCTTCAAAAGAAGAAAAAAACTATGCGGGGTATGTCGATGTTGACAAACTGGCTGACCAAACCAAGTTGTACAATTAGTTGTCATGTTTTCATGTCAATTAAACAGCAATTTTTCATTTATAAGTGATATAAACGATTTATTTCTTTAGAAAAGAGGTTTGGCTGTATGTTATTTCGAACTAACAACTTTTAAAGAAGTATTTTCTTTCCTTTCTGGTACTAATGTTACTTGAGAGCGTATAATAACATTTAATTTTCGGCAAAATAAGTTTGATACTTCATTAGAAAGTGATCAAAATTGCCTTTAGTTAATGTTTCATCCATTTATTGCATTAAAAGGGTCATATTCAATCCTAATCGCTTGTCAAACATTGTTTATTTTCATTACTTTTTCTTCGACCGCCATTGAAATATTTATAAAATCTACGGATTGGCTGCGGGAATCATCTGAAGCGGACCAGCTATGACCAAAATCCGCATTTTTAGGATAACAACTACAGACGCACAAATGGCACAGCTGACTGAATAATAATGATCCCAAAAGGGAAAACTACGCATTCCACACGCATTAACAGACTATTTGTTAGATCTTCTTGCTAAATGTATTCATTTTGTAAATGCAATATACTGATTAAAGTAGCTTAACTTTGTTAAAAATATATATAATTTTTATAAGAAAGAACTGGGACTAATACATTGAGTCCCAGGAAACAATGAATTTCATAGACATGATAAACAGAATAGTTTTTTGATTGAAATTTTATTGCCATGTGATACTTTCTCTTCCTTTTTGATGTAAAAAGCAGTCCTTTTTTATACTAGATATTTAGTTGGTAGTTTCTGACAAGAGGAAAAATATAATTCTGTAACTATAAATAAATATAGAAGACATAAACTGAAACAACTGTTATACTTTAATTGTATTCTCAGTTATGAATTGAACAATATAAACATAACTTAATGGAAATAGAGCATCGCTACAACGCGACAAATGACATCGGAAAAAATACAGTTTATTTTTTTTACGCCAAATGTGATGCTTGAGTCACTTGCGTGATTTGATTTTACACCCCGTTTTACATGCATATTTTGTGAATCCTTGTCCATCTATTGATTGAGCTTGTGCTGCCTTTAGAACACTTACAACTATGTCATTCTTATTGTCCTCTGCTATTTATACGTGTTAAGTTGTTGGGGTGAACTGGCTTCTTGAATATTTTGTAGCAAGGATATCATATATTGTTTCCAGTTTGTAATGGTCATCATCTTCTTCCAATATGGAACACAATAGGTTGCATGAATCCCCAACTGGGCAAGTCCTTTGTCAACATCTTCTTCAAATATGGAACACAATAGGTTGCGTGAATCCCCAACTGGGCAAGTCCTTTGTCAACATTTGGTACTGGAACCAATAAAGATACTACCGCCAATGTTTATCGTCCTCAGAATACGGTTGATCCTTATGACCAACTTACTTCCCTGGTTCTCCATAGCCTCACCACTCTGATGCCCTATGCCTTCTTCTTTTATCGACACAACTGCATAGGTCACCTAAATCACCAACAGCATCTTAATGAAATGCAGTTTTACATTTGAGTTTTTCTTCTGTTATAATTGTTGGAGTTGAATTAGCATGCGATTCTGTGTCATGAGCTTCTGTCTCCTCGAATTTTATAATTAGGGCCCCGCCTAATGGCGGACGCCCTATAGTGATCAGTCTGTCCGTCCGTCCGTCTGTCCGTCCGTCTGTCCTTAACAAATTGTGTCCGCTCTATATCTAGAGAACCGTTATGATTTCAAAGTTTATACTTGACATGTATATTAACCAACAGTCCGTCCGTCCGTCCTTAACAAATTGTGTCTGCTCTATATCTAGAGAACCGTTATGATTTCAAAGTTTATACTTGACATGTATATTAACCAACACCAGAGGGTGTGTCATAATGTATGTTCAACTTCCTAGGTCAAAGGTCAAGGTAAAAAACTTTGGTTTTAGTTGACAACCCCATGTCCTATGGTAAAGATCGTGTCCGCTCTATATCTTGAGAACCGTTATGATTTCAAAGTTTATACTGGATATGTATATTAACCAACACCAGAGGGTGTGTCATAATGTATGTTCAACTTCCTAGGTCAAAGATCAAGGTCAAAAACTGGTTTTAGTTGACAAACCCATGTCCTATGGTAAAGATTGTGACAGCTCTATATCTTGAGAACCATTATGATTTCAAAGTTTACACTTGATATGTATATAAACCAACACCAGAGGGTGTGTCATAATGTATGTTCAACTATCTAGGTCAAAGGTCAAGGTCAAAAACTTTGGTTTTAGTTGACAACCCCATGTCCTATGGTAAAGATTGTGACCGCTCTATATCTTGAGAACCATTATGATTTCAAAGTTTATACTTGATATGTATATAAACCAACACCAGAGGGTGTGTCATAATTTATGTACAACTTCTTAGGTCAAAGGTCAAGGTCAAAAACTTTGGTTTCAGTTGACAACCCTATGTCCAATTATAAAGATACAAATTTTTTACCACACATTATTCACAGTGGGGCCCACAGAGATGGCTCCCATCTCAATGATATCTAGTTATATCTATGATGAGTTTATTATACATGTAACAGGAACTGAAAACTATCTGATTGTTTGGGCAAAACATTTGTGGTAGTTGTGGCTGTGATTTCATCAAATGCATAAAAATAATCAGCTGTATGAACAAACTCTGAAACAGAGGAAGAATCCTTAGAAGTACTGGCTTTAAAAGGAAATACCGGGGTAAATATGTATCCAATATAAAAAATAAGGAGATGTGGTATGATTGCCAATGAGACAACTAGTCATTTTCCCTAGATAACATCTGAAGAATTTCATTAGGCAGAGATGACTTGGAAAGTCGAACTTTTGGAGAACATCCACATATTGCTTCATATTAGTCCACTTTATTACCTCATGTTGTCTACAATTTTTCTGGAATTGTAAAAACTACCAGTTGATAGCTACCTTAATTAATGATCACCAGTTAAATGTATACCAAAAATTAACACAAACTGTTCCTGAGAAACATTTTATAACCATTTTATTTTCAACATTGTCCAATTTGATAAGGTGAAAAAAACCTGACAAGGGTAAGGGAATATGTGTAATCTTAAGTAAAAATTCCAGGGCTTACATGAAATCCTTGTCAATATCCAAGAACTATGTGTAATTACTACATTGCTTAGGAATTAGATATAATCCCTGATTACACTGATTTCCTGTAACATATACATAAATATATTGAACTTCTTTTTAGTCGCCTACCAACGAAGTCAAAGGGGACTTTAGGTTTGCACTCTGTCTGTCTGTCTGTCTGTCTGTCTGTCTGTCTGTCTGTCTGTCTGTCTGTCTGTCTGTCTGTCTGTCTGTCTGTCTGTCTGTCTGTCTGTCCATTGGTCAGTCCAGCAAATCAGTTTTCCACACTTTTTTTCTTCATGCTTGCATGAAGATATTGATTTAATATTTGGTGTATTGTTTTAACACGACAAGTTACAGATCAAGTTCCAATTTTGTTCTGGTCTGACAATTTTGTGCAGAGTTATGATCCTTGAACTTAAAAAATTCACTCAAATAATCAGTTTTTCTAACTTTTTTTCATCATGCTGGAAGATCTTGATATGATAATTAGTATATAGTTGTATCATGACAAGTTTCAGATCAAGTTCGAATTTTGTTCCGGTCTGATGATGTTGTGCAGAGTTATGATCCTT